TAGAACGTTTCTGTGCAGCAGAGAACGTGGGGCAAAGTGTGCCCTTGAGTGTGTGGCTAAAAAGAGGTCTCTTCAAGTGCCCTTTGAAGGAGTTCTGTGAAATTTGTTTCTGCAGGACCGTTCTCTAACGTGGGGCCAATGCACCGCTCTGCAAGGGTTCCGAATATGGACGTGGTCATCTCATGGCACCGATAGGACGACTGCAAAAACAATCAAAGAAGTAATATTTAAAAACACTCAGAACTCCACGACTCCAGGAAGTGGCCCTGAAGCTTGCCATAACGTAAGGGGCCATGGTGATTTACAGCCAAGGTCAGTTGAGCGTGGACAATTAGACCCAAGCCGAAACATAAGATATGAAAAAAGATAGCTTAAAAATATATATATAAGTTTTAATGATGGAATATAGTATTGTCATCAGTATGACATACGTATACCAAGTATGCAGTCGATACGACATTAGGAAGTGGGTTAAAATTGAGTTACAAGATTTGAGGATACGACAACAGACAGAGTTGAGGATACAACAGACAGAGCGAGTTAAATAAAAGCGTGTAAAAAAAGGGAAACGTTCTACCCATTAAAAAAAAACATTATACATAAAGGGGCAAGCGTTTGTTTTTAGACACGAACATCAAGGTGTTTATGAAGCTATGTACTTTATATATGCCGAACTTCTTTCACACCGTACGTAAGCCAGCCACGTTAATCGGATGTGCGGGAAAACAGTTGTGCCGATTACTGATGTGCGGCTCCGAAGGGTGGAGAATGATCAAATCCGATTAACAAAGCACGGCATCTGCACAGATGAGCTGGCTGATAAAAATCCTGGGAGTGTGTCTGGACTAGAGTCCAAAGAGAACGATCGGAACAAAGTGATGACACTGAACAGAGAGAAGTTCCAATATGGACAACCCAGGTGGTTTAGACGCGTGTCTAGAATGGATCCGGAGAGAATACCGCACGTGGCGTTACGCACACACACAACCACCACATGGAACGTGAAATAAGATGCTTTGGATTGTGAAGAATGATCTTGAAAGGAAGGGGGGACACAAGTCAATGTAGCCGTGACGCCGGTACGAGCACCTCCGATTAGCACGGTTGGTGTGACAGAAGTTCAACATACATAAATACGAGCCGGGGACAGGGGGGACAGATCTAATCTGGCTTTCATTGTGTATCAAGAAGTTGGAAAAGGAAATAAATAAAATATGTTTCAAGACCAAAATTTCATATTTAGGCCCGTCAACTTATGAGCCTTCGGAGCCTATATGTTTTCCAGCAGCATGTGTTTAAAAGGAACCACCACGACCAGAAAAAGGAAGGTGTGGAAAGATTCGGGCCTCATCGCTAGCTGCTGTGTGACAATTCATGTATGAGAGCGGATATGTCTACGCAGTGGAACCGATAACCAATTGCAACTTCACTGAGTCTCATCAGCAGATTGTAGCCCTTTAAACAAATGCTGCTGGGTTGCCTGGTGTATTGGATGCAAATTTTGTTTAATCACCTGTACTTACAAAAGCTTGCTGCTCATGAGAAACACAGCTATTTGGCCAATTTGTTCAATGTTTAACTTCTTAATGGGATACTCTAGAATAATGTGAATTCCATTTTTATTTAATCTTATACATGCACAAGCCTATGAACGCATTACCCGGAATGTGCCCAATCTTGCCAAATCTCAGAAGCTAAGAAGAGTTGAGCCTGGATTGTGCATGGATAATGCAACCACCATTATATAAAACAGGCTGTCATCGGCTGCTGAGGGATGATTTTGTGGACATCTGAGGGCAGTGAAGCAAAACCCATTGTTGGATTGTACTACTATGCTTCCTTATCTATGCTCCCTGCCTTCACCAACCCACATTGCCCAGAAATCCAGGAGTGGATTGACAAAATACATTGGACATCTACATATTAGGGACGAGTTGTGGCTTTCAACATTCCAATATATAACGGTCATTTTGAGATATTATTTAGATTTCCGAATCATTTACATTATTTAAAAATGTAATGAGTCTTCATGCTCAAAAAAGTGAGATCACCCAATTGTCACGCGACAACTTCAAGCGGATATGGTGTCCCACAAAGTGACATCACTTCCCGTGGTACACGTTTTCATAACAATCCGAAACAAATTGTTTTCTTTTCATCTGAAATTTAATATCTTGGCCCTATTTTCAGATTTTTCATATTCATCTGAAAATCCCTAGTCTTGTACGTATGCACGCGCACATTACCCACAGCATTGATGTAACTTAATTCCACACGAATAGGTCGTATTAGACGACCTTAGAGTTGAAAGAGACCACCTGAAACATTTACAGCAGCAGATTTGCCAACTGTACATTTAAACAATGCATACCAATAACACTGCCAAGAACATTCAAAGCTATGTCAAAAGCACACAGCCCTTCGTGCATTATGCAACAAACCATCAGAAGCTCATGAAGAACTGGATTGTGGTCCTTTGTCTTAGGTCACAGTCAAAATAAACTTGAGTAAATGTGACCGTAGGTTGGTTTCATTCTCATTAGGCCTCACCAGTACAGTCGCATCACCAATGCTCACCGCTCCAAAATCTGCTTCTTGGAACCAATATTTGTGGATTCCCCACTTTCACACTATGGGGTGCATTAGCTTGCCTAGATGGCAAGTATAATCTAATCCGTAAAGGATAAAAATTATGGTTTTCCAGCCTGCACTATTTTTCTTTTACGATGGGATTTAGTCAACATTGACACTGCTAACCATTAAAACACTGCCCACATTGTAAGCCCTTCAGCCTTGCTCTGATCCTGATGATGGTGGCATGGACATACGGGTGTAAAGTCAACATATCTCCTCCTCCCCTCCCATGGAGTGTGAACCCCAGGTCTGCTTTAACTCCCAATTCCTTACTCCTGACTTTGTGAACCAACTCTTCAATGTAGTCTAACGCTTAGTCTCATTCCACAAAGCTGGGCAAACTTTCCCCGAGTAGCCTGTAACAGACTGTTGGGGCAAGTGGCGTTAGTGAACACCTATTTTTAAGGATGACTAGGCAATCGATGGGTGACCAGTTACATATAGAACGTTGGGCAAACATTGCATGTTTACTGGGTGGTATGTTCAGCAAACGCAGTTTTCATCCGGCAGCTGATTGGCACGGGGCTGTTGTATAATTATCACTTAATGTTTTGGAGTATAAGGACAAAGAGACATATTCGCAGATACCCGGGGACTGATTACAGGCTGAATCAACACGGAGGTCAAGGACCAGGATGCTTCAGATATCACTGGCCACTCATTGGTAACCGTGGCCAAAAATTGAACTTAGGTCGCCCGGTTCACTGCGCCACTGCTGCACACACCACATGTACATATGCACGTGTGTGTATGCACATAGTACACGTGAATTATTCAACCAAATCAGCCTCAATGAACCAAATCTTAGGTGACGCGTGGGTGAAACCTGCATGGTTAGCACTTGAATGGGAGGCTGGCTGGAAATTCCACGTGTTGTATGTTTAGCCTTTAAGATAGCAAGCAAATAGGATCAATTGCAGTACAGTACAACAATTGATCGTTGAATCTATCTGTGTGGAGCTTTGAATGTTAGCCTCTTTGTATACATGGGAGGTTTTCTAAAAAAGACACTAGTTTTCTCACACTTAAAAGCGAAATGGAATTGACCAAACATTCCCTTGTAGTAGGACCCCCCCCCCCCCCGAAGAAAATAATCTTAAGCTTTGGTGAGGTTTTTCCTCCAAAAAATTTAAGGATACAGGCGTTATGAAACTATAACCAAGGGAAGGGCAGCTTAAACCCTGCTATGTGCAGAATGTACAACATATTTCAGTACTGACAGATGTAAGAACAATGTAAAAAATCTGGAATATCAGCCAAAACAAGTTTCGCGAACACATTTAAACAATATGGACAAGTCCGCTCACTGGGACAGAAAAAAAGTGGTTACACCACGCACTCAATCCATCTCAATTGTGCTCATAATTCACACATCGCAACACGAGGAATTCACAATGTTTTAGGCTGAGCCAACCTAGCAGAGGGCCATGCCCAGCTTGATTAAAGCAAATGCCACGAATTGCTTCACATTCTAGACGCTGACACACGTACAGGTCAAACAGCAGCACACGTGCATGAAATGACCCCGGTAGCAACCACGTGCGTTCAAAGGGGACATTGATCCAGGAGATGGAGCAACGAAATCTCGTGCGAGATCATGGGCCATGGATGGGTAAGGGCTTGGTGAGACCGTGGATTGATCATGGCTGATGATTATGATGATGATGACAACATAACCGGATCAGACATCTCTCGCCACTGATGTGGTTAAACAATATTCTTACATCACAATATTCTTACATCTTCTTGGTTCTATAAATAAAACACAATAATATTTAATGTTTCATTTTTATTATTTTATTATTTCCCTTCTACGTGACTTTACCGAAAGAACCAAGAAGATGAATCCCAGCAGTCACGAAAGCTTTAAATCGAAATTTAATATTCTTACATATTCGCAGATAATAAAGACAAAGCTCCCCTCCTCCTCGTGTTGCTTTTACAGGATTTTCGGAGCAAGTGATGTTAGCGAAGCACCTATTATTAACGCGGGTATGGCGTACACGAGTGGCCAGGATCACTCCAGACCGTCTTTGTCTCTCTCCTAAGACAGTACAAACTCGCACACAGTCTGTAGTCTCTGTACGGACTGTTGAGGCTTTAATGGGTGCTCGCAAACCACACAAAACCACGCGATTAAAGACCCCCCCCACCCACCCACGTGGAGCTGAAGGCTGGCAACCACACACGAGGGGGGTAGTGGGGAGGGCAACCAGCACCACGCCCGGCCGTCTTTGTCTCCCTAGCGGCGACGTTTACACAGAGCAACAGGTACTGATTTGAGGCCAAATCGACCTAGGGGTGGCCCAGCACCTGCTGTAACAATCGTCTTAGTAGACCACACAGGACACAAAGTCGCTACTCACCAGCTTGGTCGCCCTGTAGGGTCCAGGCGAGATGAGCCGCTGGTCTTGCATGGCAGCTCAGCGTGCGGAGATTATTGAGCACGGCACGAGATCAAATCTCCTTCACCACCACCAACAACAACCACCACGTGTCTTGCCACAACCACAACCACCAACAACAACCACCACCATCACAGGCATCAACCCATCCGCTTCTCGCGAACGAGGCGACGGCAAACAATGGACCCCCCCCTGCTGTCCCCCAGCTTAGCGAACCCAAGACAGCCAATAGGACCAAGCCGAGATTTAAATAGGATTTAAATAGGATCAGTGAAGGGTTCGTGCCGGTCGTTGTATAGACCCACAAACAGCGACTGATCCACCTATCCCCTATAGCCTTTGGTGGGGCGGCCAGCAACTACGTCACGGCCGCCTTTGTCTCCCTACCGTGGCGATGTTTAACTACAACAACCACAACAACAACAACAATCGCCGTTCGCCAGAAAGTGGCGGTGACGTCAACCGCGGCGCTGGTGCCAGGCTACGTGCACGGCCCAAGCACGTGGGGTAGCAGCCACACACACACTGCGTCCTGGTCTCATCCCCTATCCACCACCACCAACAACTACACCACCAACAACCACACAACAACCACACCACCAACAACTAAACCACCAACAACCACACCACCAACAACTACACCACCAACAACTACACCACCAACAACCACCACACCACCACCAACTACACCACCAACAACCACCACCAACTACACCACACCAACTACACACCACACCACCAACAATCACACCACCACCAACTACACCACACCACCACCAACGACACCACCACCAACTACACACCACACCACCAACAATCACACCACCAACAATCACACCACGACACCACCAACAACAACCACCACCAACTACACCACCACCACGACACCACCAACAACAACCACCACCAACTACATCACCACCAACAATCACACCACGACACCACCACCAACTACACCACCACCAACTACACCACCACCACCAACTACACCACCACCACCAACTACACCACCACCACCAACTACACCACCACCACCAACTACACCACCACCACCAACTACACCACCACCACCAACTACACCACCACCACCAACTACACCACCACCACCAACTACACCACCACCACCAACTACACCACCACCACCAACTACACCACCACCACCAACAACTACACCACCCCACCACCACCACGCAAGTGTGTGCCCTGCATGCCCCCCCCACCCCCCGTGTTTGAATGAGGCGAGGTGGCCCACGCAGCCAATCACAGCCGGCCTACTGACTGAGCGCACGCGTCACGGGTCCCTTTAAAGAGGAGCGGCAACGTGGATGATGATGATGATGGTGGTGGGGGTGGGGGATGAAGCCGGTGACGATTATCGTGAACCGGTCGTGGGCCTCCCCTAAGTCGACTCAGCCTCAAATGAGTACCTGGTGCGGTGTGTAAACACATCGCCACCAGGGAGACGAAGGCGGTTGTGGTGTTGGCCACCCACCCCCATCGTGTTTATGCCATTTATTGTGAAAATTCCGGCACAGTTCCTATGATTGCTTTTTCATTGCTTTCATGGCTTTATTTTGGTGATTTCGAAAAGTGTATTGGTTTAGTCATGTTTGTTTGTTGTAGTACAGAGTTAGACTGATGGTCTTAATCTAAGTTGTCTTGTGGTTGTTGTTTGACTTGCATCCCACTGGGATTTTTGCACACAGCGTTGGTGTATGGTGTTTTTATTTGCAATATTTTGCTGTCTTTTCTTGGATTTTCTGTTTGCACTCAGTCACATAGTCACTTTAAGCTGTTTTTTGTTCATGTTTTTTGTTTGTTGCGGTTGCACCCGATTCAAGAGCCGAATGGCTCACAGGGCTACACTTAATCAATGAACTTGAATCGTGTGCTGTACCGTCCTTCATAGTTGCTCACGAACAGTACTTGCCCCATCAGTCTGTTAAGATCTTTGTCGGAGTTAAATCTCGTAAATATATAAATGTGTCGTTAAAACCCACCACCACCCGACACAGCCAACTAGTAAGGGTTGTCACGAAAATAGAACGTGGCCAATTCGTCACTAGTACAGCACTAGTGTGTAGTTTATAGTGTAGTGTATAGTGTAGTGTATAGTAGTATATATTATAGTGTATAGTAGTGTATAGTGTAGTGTATAGTAGTATATAGTGTAGTGTATAGTAGTGTATAGCAGAGGTGGGACAAAGTCATTGTTATGCAAGTCCAAGTCGAGTCTGAAGTCATCAAATTCATGACTCGAGTCTGACTCGAGTCCAAGTCACATGACTCGAGTCCACACCTCTGGTGTATAGTGTAGTGTATAGTGTAGTGTATAGTAGTGTATGGTGTAGTGTATAGTAGTGTAATGTCCTAATTAGGGGCCGTCCATAAATGACGTCAGGCACCTAGGGGGGGGGGGGTCAAACATTTGTGACGATGTGTGCCGAGGCGGGGGGGGGGGGTTGAGAAATGTGACGTCACATCAAAATGCGCAACTTTAAATAAGTATAAACAACACGTTCTACCTAATTAAATATACTTTTTAATAAATGTTTTCTCCTACAACATCAGAGTGCAGTGCCACATTAAATACGCACTACAATGACAATAGTTTAAAGCGATTTGAAGCATGTTTCATTTTTTTTGGGGAGGGGGAGAGCTTTGTGACGTCATATTTGAGGGGGGGGGGTCTGACTTTTTGTGACGCCGTGTGACGAGGGGGGGGGGGGTCAAAAATCGTCCAAAAACGCGTGACGTCATTTATGGACGGCCTACTTAGTGGAAGAGACATAATTTCATCAGCTGCGTAACGCTGCCTGGAAGCTGATTTGGCCTGTAGCTCCACACAAAGCTTCGGGGAGGCTTCACGGCCGCATTTATACCATCTCCTCTAAGCTTGTCAAACGTGGACCCCTCTGAAGGAAAATCTGCGCCAGTTTAACACATTCAGGCTGGCCTGCCTACGATCTGTTTAACCAGACTGGATTGTGTGAGGAGTTCACAGATCCTTCAAAGATTTGGACAAAGTCCCATGGGCAGGCGAGGCAGCGTTGGCTGGGTCACGTATTTCGCATGCCCAAGCAGACTCTGTTTGGCCAGATAGAAGGGGGTTAGACGGGCATGACACGGGCTGGTGAAGAGATGGGCTGGCGTGGGAGGATGTGGAGTCGAGTGTAGTTTTCCAAGCCTGGTACCAGCGGTGTCAAGATCTATCTCTATGGAGGAGGCTCAAGAATCACGGCAACCGGTTAAAACGCAGCGAGGTGGCACAGCTGGTCCATCCGCCAGTCATGTCAACCCACAGCACCTGGATCCGTCCCTGTGAACTCCCTTCGGCGAGCCTTCCACACTTCACGTGGCCTCAATGTACACCTAGCCTGGCACAAGCGCCGTGGTGATGCCACGGATACTTCTTGGCGAATGAGGGCCGCTGTTGGTGAGAGTCGTGCGGCCTTAATAGGCGCTCGCTCAAAGCAGTGGCTCCAAGTATATTAAAATACTAGATATCTGTACGAATATGTCCGTGGGTACAAATTGAGGGGGTCTTACAATGTAAATTATAACATGTTTCCGAGTTCTTATAAAATACACAAACACCAACACGTAACTCACACCATGCAGGTAACAATCGATACATCGAAATATATTTTACGTGGATCGTATCATGAATACAAGAATCAATTATTCAGTGATTTCTAAAAGATATACGGTCAGATAATGCCAATGATATGGTAATATTACAGAGAGCACGACAAAGACCCAGCATCAAAACAAATGAAAACGAATAGAATATCGTCTACAAATCCCGACTCTTCATCTAAACATGGTTGGTGGTACAATCATTGACGTTGTCGGTTTAAGAAATCTCGAGTCTCAAAACCCTTTAAGCATGGTCCTGCCTTCAGATGTTTGACCAGTTGCACGCAGTGTTTGGCATGTTGGTGGAAATTCGAGTTCAGTACCTGAAGAAACCCCACCACACACATACACGGTGACAACTCAAAAATTCCGCAGTTGTGTTCCATCCATTGCTGCACTGCCATCTCATGGCGACCTCGCAAGTCCAAGCCCAGATCAACTTAGGTTCCAATATCCAGCAATATCTGGCGCTTCCAGGGAGACTTGCTGGCTCCATGCTTGTTCTACCGTCCACAGCATGTCCTCAGCTCATGCCCTCTTCTGCCATTCTCCGATTAGTCGTGCCGTCGTGTCTCTCTGCAGCCAGACGCTCATGAGCGGTGGCGATGGCTTCCTCGCCTCATCCAGGACCCCGTTTCCACAATTCCTGGTTCTCCTCGCCTCCATGGATGATTGATGGCCGCGTGCACAGGTCCTCGAAGCTGCCGAGTCGCCAAGCACCTTGCCCGGCTCCTCACCTGCAAACATCTTCCTCTGCAGCGCGCCCACATCCGGGAAGAACAGCGGCGAGGCGATGAACGCATGCCCGGGCTGCACGTCTTCTTGTGTCCCACACTGCAGTCCCCAAGGAACGGTGCCGATGGGGCAATGGCTCGTATCCGCCTTGCTCACGGGGCCCAGGCGCGACTTGGCAAGCTGAGGCACGGAAGGAACCGGGGGGGCCTTCTGGCCTCTCAACACAAAGCGAAAAATATCAGCCGTGGACAAAGGGTGGACGTCACCAGACACTGGAATCCCTTGCAGGACGTGGTTTGGCATGATGGTTGAAAACGTATACCCAAGCGAACAGATACTGGCTTTTGTCGGCTCACATTTTCCCGTCCAGATCCAGTGCTGTAGATGAATAAAAACAGCAACAGACCGTTGCTTAGTAACCCCCCCCCCACACCGTATACTGTAGAGGGAATTCACTTCCACAATAGGGCCACGTAAACCAACCACGCTATTCACCTAAATAGATTGGCTTCTTGTAAAAAATACACGCAAGATTACACAAAAGGTTTTGACACTAACCCTTCATCAGAGGTCGGTTGCATTGTTGAACAAGCAGGTTGTTAAATTTATTAAAACAATGCAAAAAAACACAAATTCACAAAACAGAACAAAACCGCGAGTTTTTATTTAATGAATGTGGGGAAAACCAGCATCAAATGGACGATCCTTTACATGCCGGCTATGTAAAGCATACTGTACAAAGAGAAAATACGGTATGTGCTTCTTAATTTATGTAGGATTCCCACTCTTGCCCCTTTTTTTAAAAAGCAAATGAATTTAGTGGCCTGTTGTAAAAAATGCACCAACCTGAAGGTTCCCAAGAATGAAACGGCAAAAGGTCGCTTAAAACACAACAAAAATCGCATGGCGCAAGCATTACAATTTTGTTACAAACATCAAGTACGGTGAAAATCCTAATGTCAACCAAAGCTGTAGAGACTCCAAGGTAGTTATATATATATAAAAAAAATTCACCTCCGGCAATAATCAGAAACTGTAGGCAGTTGTGAACTCTATAAACCGAGCCGATCAATTGCCTTTAAAAAATGGGGGACATACAGTATTTACAAACCAGTATGCAATCAAAAAAACTATTTGAAATCTCAAGACTTGTCATGCTTCATCTTTACAGCAATGCGAGTTGATTTGGGAATTTATAGTTTTTCCAATTTCACCCACCGACTTCACCTGCCTTCTGCTACCAACCACACCATCACCAGACACCTTTTATATGCAACAGAAAAAAGCAGCCATGCATTCAAAGGGACGTCCTCCAATACCCGAGACCATCCATTTAATACAAAGCTCTGGGTTCACCCTCAAAATGGCAGTTCCCAAACCAATGTTGAAAGGGGACCGAGAAGGCTGGTGGTGGTGTTGGTTCATAGGCCAAGAAGGTTGTGCAGGTCTGTACAATTGCATCTGTAATCTCACATGCGCTCACACTGGCTCGTGTGAACGCATGTTAAAGACACGTGGACCAAATTATGTAATTGGGTGCAACTCTCCTGTACACTCGCATGTGCAATCATACTGGCCAGCGTGTGTGCACGCGACTTGGGGACCAACTGCTGTAACTGGATGTAGTGGCCAGCACGAACATGTGCTAATGGCCACGCAAAAACCAACGACTGCATTTGTGTAGATGTAATAATTGCGGAGTAAGAACAGGCGATTGTGTGTGCGGCAATCAGAGGCACACACGCAGCTCAATCGCTGGTGTACATGTCTTCCTGCTGATCGTCATCCCCATTGGTGTTGCGCTCGGGGCTCTGATTGCCGCTGTCAGAGCCGCCCCTGCTGCCGGAGCGTGTGCCGCCCTGCGGTGGAGACCCGTCATCGGCGCCTCCGGAGCCAGCGCCCTCCTCGCGCAGCAGCCGCTCCTTTTCGCTGTCGTAGCCCATCTCCTCCTCGTCGTAGTTCCGCGTCACCTGCACGTGTGCGCGCAACACGTCCAACAGGGTCTATGCACCACAGAGCAGCCGGCGTGCAGACGGGAAAGCACGTCTTACTCATTCGTTCACCACAACGCTACATCAGGATAAAAATGTGTTAAATCAAAGTGGCCTGCCTGCTTAAAATGAGCAAGTGCGATTTGCTCAGCTCCTGAGTTGTACACCCTTGATTGAGCCTGTGGCAAGGCAGGGAGACTCGTCTATCTTATATAACACACACCGTTGACTTCTAGAAGATAGACTTATTCCAGTGGCAACGAAAAGATGAAGGCCAAGTTGATTCCTGACCAGGATATAAACTGGCAACCTTATGTTTGGCTGCACACTGCGTGAACTGGTCAGATGAATAACAGAATGACCTACAACATAGTGCAGAAGATATATTGAGCATATAAATGTATCCTATGGTAAACTTAAAAAAGAAATTTGCTAAATCTTACCAAACCGGTATAGTTTGACTTGTCAAACTGTGCAACATTTTTCAAAGAGACATAAATGACTTATGTAGGGCACTTGGGGATTATATGGCTTAGGAGATTTGAAGGCTTTGCTAAATTTTAGAAACCTAGACTTCATTATTTCTTCATTTTTGACAGCTGCCATTTTAAAATCGGTTTAAATGTCACCGAAATCTACCCTTTTCCAGGCTCGGGTAAATGCTAGATGAGATCAAACGACTGTTCACATCAGAACTGCTTAAAAACTCATCTTCACAAACATTCTTACATTTCAAGAAAAACTCAACTTCCTTTCACATGACAACCTTAACAGGGTCCTATATATAAAAGTCACCGTTTATTTTTAGCTACTAATAAAAAAATCCAAACCACCTCATGGATTTCAATATAATCAACTTCATAATAAACGTTTAAGACAATAAAACAAATTTTACCCAGACTCCACAGATTCAAAGCATTTCAAACGGAGGACTTGAATCAAATTCTTTTAGGTGTTAACAATTTTGTTTGCAGAATTTGTTATTCATTTTTTTGTACAAGCTGAGCCAAAATGCAACATTAGCATGATTTGCATAAATCATAAGCAACTAATTCTGCCTATTAAAAATTGTTTGCCACAAGGCAAGCAGTGTAAATACTAAGTCTTTCTTAAAAGCATATACAAAGGGGGCTGCGAGGATAAGGAAATACTCTTAGGTTTTTTCGGTAAAGTGACTTTACCGAAAAAACCTAAGAGTATGAATCTTGCAGTCACGAAAGCTTCAAATCTAAAGGATAAGAAAATAATGATACGCCATGGACCCTTTGAAAATACTACTCGCGTTCAACAATTCGTTATTGCCGACATTTAACTACGTGCATTTATGGTACCGCCAATGGCTGCAACGCCACTCACCTTGACGTCGCCCTTGTCTCCTTCGCTCCTGTCGCGCCGTTCACGCTCCTTTTCCCGTTCACGCTCCCCCTTGTCCCTGCCCTTCTTCTTGCGGCTTCCCGACGAACGCAACTCTTTCTCGCGGCTTCGCTCACGCTCGCGACGCTTCTCTTTCTTGTGCCTGGCAAAGGGGCGCAAAGTGCGATAGGGAAAACATACGTGCACCTCCACGATTAGCACGGTTGGCTACGCACGATGCGAAAGTTCAACATACATACACGCAGGGTATTTATAGTAACGACAAAAGGCTTTGCAAAAATTAAGTTTGGAGTCAAGCCAGCTTTTATTTTGCCTGTATATTTTTTGGAGCAACTCAAAAGTTATTCAAGTGGACACCACAATTTGCAATTGTGCTTCAGATGACATGAACAAGCCCTTTTGTCAATGCAATGCTGGATGTTGGGTCATGGGAGGTTCCTTGACTATATTTCACCAAACTTGTTCGCAGTGTGGGTAGTGTGGGTTAGCAAATGATGTCAGTCCTGGCCATGAATCAAACTAAAATCGCCGGGCTTACAGTACAGTGTGCGAACCACTGTGCTAAACACTACCTGTTTTTAGTTACCTTCATAACTGTTGGGGTAACCCAAGCGTTATGACACCAAGGTGATTCAGTGCAGTATTTAATCAAGCGTCTAAATTACGACAGAAACTTAAGACAACCATAAAACTAACAGATCATATCAAGTGGATATGGACCTCGGCTGTATACGCTAAAATACTTAATGTCATCAATGCTTTAATGTCATTCAAACTATATGATGCTGCCATCGACTTACCTTTTTCTGATTAAAGCTTCAAGATTGTTGTACAGCCTACGACACACAGCCTAGGTACGCACATATCTAAACAAGATATATGCGCCCAGTTTTTTTTACATCGTGCCTTCCCATTCATATAGCGCAAATTTATGGTTTAAGTCTCGGCACATCATGCGTGTTGTGTCGAGGCTCTCACTTCTTAGGCGACGGGGAGCTGGAGCCCTTGCGCTTGGGCAGAAGGGGCGGCGAGCCGAGCTTGCGACGCGGCGACCGAGACACACGGCGAGGGCCCGGCGATCTGGACGGCAGGCGGCGTTTGGGCGAGCGCGAGCGGCGGCTGCTCGACGGCCTCGGGGAGGCCCGGCGCCGGGGGCTGGGAGAGACGCGGCGAGGCGGAGGAGGCGGCGAACGCGACAGCGGGCGCTTCTTGCCCGCCAGCGAGGGGCTGCGGCTCTTGCGGCCACGTCGGCTGCGATCCCTGTTCGTCGTCGAGACGAGAAAAGAGTGCGTCAAAGCAGGGTAAATTTTACCCTTGTTCACTCGAATTAAGTTTAAATGGCATTAACTACCATAATGGCCAATGAGAGAATTCTCCATGCGACTGTGTGGTTAGAGAGTTAAAATGGGATGACCCCCTTTTCCTCTTCGCTTCCTGGAGCTTAAGACACCGTGAGAACATTCGAGGAGTCAAATGTTAAAGTGACAAAAGCAGAATGCGAGACAAACTTGAAAATATAGTATTGCTGAAATTAAAACTATAAAGCATATCGACAGAATGTTTCACGTAAAATGACTCTACATGATCGAGTAGGATCCAATTCATAGCCAGATGCTGACACTGGAATCATGGGTTCATTGTAACAGGGAGACTTGATCTCTTACAGCTCAATACTAATCTCCAGTTTCTCACCCCACAAAGACAACCTGAGCAAACGAGAAAATACATTTCAGTAATATGCCAATTTTTTCTTCTAAAAGCAATAACTCAAGCTTTATAAAAAAAGCAAATCAATCTCTTAAGTTCACAATTTCCTGCGATTAAAGTGAATAAAAGTATCTCAAGGTCTCAAAAAGGAATGGGTAGGACAGTTGTTGGGGGTGATATTTTTAGATGTCAGGAGAAACAACAAAGTTACTAAATGACATTCTGGCACGAAATGAGAGAACGACAAAGCTGTGCGCCGACGTGCTATCGGGAAGGGGATACACCCCCTTGATCGCTCTCACCTGGACTTGGAGCGAGAGCGGCGGCCACGGTCTCGCGAGCGCCTGCGTGGTGAGCGGGATTTGCGGCGTGGGGAGCGGGACCGACGGCGGGGGCTCCTGCGACCACGCGATCGCGAGCGGTACCTCGTGCGGCTTCCCGAGCGTCTGCAGTCAACATGCGGCGTCAGGACCAACATAAAAAACACTAGCAAGCTTTAACCCTTAGTGTCATTTCACCACTGTGGTTCGGTTAGATAAGTCTCTACCCTCAAGTGGAGATACTCATAAACTTTATTTATTTTAGTCACTTGCTTACATTTTCTCTACTTTGCACTATTGTATTTATATTTCATCATGGGACCTCCTTTGCCAGTACCATAAAATAATAGGCTTTTCCCCTTTAATCTGGCAACAAAACAGGTGTTAAGATGTTAAAACACCAAACTGAAACCTTTTACAAGGAAACATGTTTTGTTGCCAGATAAAAGGGGAAAACCCTATTATCATATTTTGGTACTGGCCCCATGATGTAGATGCTCAACTCCGAGCTCTCATTATTCTGATAGTGCATTGTCTTTTGGGTTGTACGTCTTTTGGCGTCCTCTGGTCTAACACCGTTTGAGACGAGGCTCAAAAGAAAGCTGTCTCTGGTGTGGACCAATCCATTTCTGACCACAAGCATTGTGGTTAATGTAGACATGATTCCTTGTAAAAGGTTTCAGTTTGGTGTTTTAACATTGTAACACCTGTTTTGGTGCCAGATAAAAGGGGAAAAACCTATCACCACTGTATTTATAGTTTGTTGTAACTTGCTGAACCGTCCCCTACTGAACATCTGTGAAAAATATCTTTATAGCTCATCAAATTCCTCCAGGATATATAAAGATTATGATTGTGAGATACGGCAGAAGTTTGATATTATTTTCTTACATTACACTGGTGAGGCAAGCACACCTGCCCTTGCTCCTAGCGAATGTGCTTATAAGCAGCTCTGGCAACAAAAGTATCAGCAAAGCCGAATCACCAACTCGACTGCAGTTCACGCCTGATGAAACGGCTCCCCCTGCTGGCAAGTTGATTACAATTTCACCTCTCACCTTGCATTTACTGCACCCAACCACTTCCCAATACTCGCGACAAAAACCATGTTCATGGTCAAATTAATACGTCATTGGAACCTCATTTGCCGGTAAAAATATAATTGGTTTTTTACCCTTTTATCTGGCAACAACGCACCTTTTGGCGTCATCTGGTCCAAACCATGCGAGACTAGGCTCTAAGGAAAGCTGTCTCGGGTGTGGACCAATCAACTTCAAGGACAGTGCACATTATCAGAGTTATGTTTTTTGTTTGCATTATGACTGCAGGTATTGTGGTCTATGTAAACATGACTCCTTGTAAAAAAGGTGTCAGTTTTGTTGCCAGATAGAAGGGTAAAAAACAATTAACTTAATACGTGTTACATTGTTTTTATTTACACATGTAACAATACGTTAATGCATTGACTGAAATGCTCGTGCACTACGAATTGTGCATGTAATGATCAATCGTTTTGAAAGGTTTCGGTTATTTGCGCACACTTTGTTTAAGAGCAACTAGAAAGGCTACATTTACCAAAATGGTAAATCAGATTGTTACTTCTCGTTACCAAATGGTTTGTATTGTTTATCTGTTTTGTGCGTAGTTTTGTTCACGTTAGTCTAAATGTAAAAGCATAGTATTTGCCGATGCTTTGAATAAACCTCTAAATAAATCCAAACACAAATTGATGCATCGATGGTGGGTGTACATAATTATTTCAATCTACGTGATGCGTCCCCGTTTTCTCCAGCCATCTGTGCCGTCTCCCTGCGCAAGTTCACGACTCGAAAATACGCCCAGTTTCTGTGCATAATTTTGAGCTCCGATAGCATTCATATGCTATACAAATCCCAACTGTCCCAATGTATTGCATTACGCCGAATTTATTTACATTATTCACATCCCAATTTGCGAATTTCCATTGCAACTTACATTCCAGATGGCACTTCTGCTACGCGTTCTCTTCATTGTGCTCCGAAACCAACACGTGCAAATGTCATTAACGACAACTTGGACTGGTGTGCCAACAAATGTTGTGCCCCTGGGAACAGGGAGGGCTCACCGGCGGCGTGAACGCGAACGGGAACGCCGTTTCCGCGAGCGGGACCTCGACTTTGACCGAGAGCGCTTCTTTTTGTCGTCCTTCTCTGAAGAATCTGAAGAAAAAAAGCAAGGACCACTTAAATTACAGTTCCCGAGAACACAACTGCCATCCAACGTATTCCAGTAACTGACCAATACATTCCAAGGACAAGCTTAAGCATTTCTCCTAAAACATAGCTTTTATTGCTTAAGTTCTTCTTTCACAAAGCTTTGAGTGTGGGGGTACGATCAAGAGCAAGATGTCTTACAGGATTACAACTGGGTGAAACTCACCTGGGTCGATAGCGGCAGAGATGAGCGACTGTGCTTCACGGACCCTCTTCATGGCCTCCTCGATCTCTTTAGAAGCAGCGTCCGTCCCCTTACCCGCCGGTTTTGCGATGGCATTGTTCGGATGGTTCATTCTTGCGACAAAGGTAACAAAATTACCTTGAAAATTAGTGCCCGTTTCAAGACTTAAATATTCATGCAATTTAAACACTCATGGGAGCACAGCCACTCTATAAGTAATCTTTAATTTTTTGTCAAACAATGCAGCACTTAAGTTAGTGTGTTCATATTTGGTTAAGAAGCAATAATAAGTATAACCCGTAAAAACAAAGCTTTTCACTCTAAATCCTTTATATGCGTGGCGGCTAGAGTCCTCTGGCTTGAGATGGCTGCCACCTATGGGTCAGGTGATTGTCTGCAGTATTAAACAATTGGTAATTAAATATTTAATTTGTTTTCCCTAAACAGTGTAAAATTTTGGATTTTTTTTTTCACGAACATTAATTGTCTCGCACAACGAGTCTGTGTGCAAAATGTCAGCTCTATTGGATCACGGGAAGTGGGTTAAAAAACGACCGAAAGGTTTGCACGGTCGTAAGCAAGCAAGCAAGCACGCAAGCGAACTTAATATAAAGGATTTAAAAATGGATATTCTCTATATGTGGGGCAGTGTGTGTTAAACTCAACAGATGAACGTACTTGACCTCGCCACCGACTTGCGAAAACAAATTCAGCAACTGTTCAGCAGTGGCAGACTGAAAAACAAGAGGCAAAGGGTCAACCCGTGGCCATCATGGCAAAACAATGCAAATTTCGGAAGCAAAAGAAAATCAACCTTGCGTTACTTGAATTTTCTGTGCTTAAATTAGAATTTAGGACAAGCAACTAAACTAAGAAAATAATGGCAACATCAATCTTACACAAAGAGTTTACAAATAATATTAAAATATAGAGAAGGTTGTGTATTACATTTAGCTATTCACAATTCTTAAAATATTATAAATGTAAAAAGGTCATTTTTAGCACAATATTTGATTGGATTTAATTTTTCTACGTTGGCGAGAGCCTCAAGCTTTATACAAGAACCACCGGTAAAGCACATTGCTAGAAAATAAGTGCAATGATGTACCACATCTCAAATACGTGCCGGATGAATAAAGATGTTTATTAAAACATGAGATAATGAATATCAGATAGTGTATACACATTCTTAACAAGTTTCCAGACTTGCGCCATTTTTATTAAAATCGTGCACGAGCAGCATGCGACGAAACAGCGTATCCATTTCGAATTCTTTAACTCCACATCACAAGCGAGCATGTGGGGTAACATCAAAGAACCATTTCGATGATCCCTTGTAGGGGCATTACACTTACTCACATGCACTGCAACGGAGAGGTCTGTCCCAATGGCAGTCAAAGTACTTTTTCACTCCGCACTGGAATTGTTTCCAAAAAAGGCGAAACACCCAACTAGCCTTATGTGGAATGAAGTGATTGGGCTGCTACCATTAATTCTTTACATGTGAGAACCCGGCTTCATAATTGAGCGCCGACACCCGGATTGGATGGAAGCATCTGGTGATGACTCAGTGCTACGGACGCTCCGTGTGCCACCGAATCCCCCTAATCGGTAACAGGACCTTCCGATGTTGAACCGCGCGCACATGCAGTCAAATCGTACCTGGCCAAGGTGCATGGGCTGCTGCATGCCCTGCAACTTTCCGCCATCCAAGTTGCCGAGAAGCTGTGGCTGTGGGAGGCCGAGCGCGGCCAGTGTGGAGTCCATGCTCCCGCCACCGTGCAGCGCGCCCAAAGCCGACAGGGGCACGGCCCCCATCTGTGATGCCACACGCACATGTGAAACACTTTAAAATGCACATTCGATCAGAGAAGCTCAGTCAGTCTTGAAGGTATTTACACAACTCTTATATAACACACATGTAAGTCAAATAACAAGTATTTGCAGGTATGTCTCACATTCAACTATTAACCCAGGATAAATTCAGCTTAAGATTGCGAGATTATCCAAACTCAGTTGTTTGGTCATATGCAAGGTTGAATGGGGACAAGGTTATGCCTTGTGTTTTTTATGTTTTTTACGCCATTGAAAAAGGTATTATTTTTTCATGTTTTAGTTGTATTCATTTATGTACAAAACGATTAAACAAGATATTACTTTTCAAACTCAAAGTAAACCTAACCAAGTTGTTAAATGTATAACTATTTAATTTCATTTGTCCCAAGGGCAAATTAATTGGAAACGGGTCTATGAAGTTGCTGTATATACATTGAATATGGTTAGCATACCCATGTACTTAAAAACATCCCTTCTCAGAATAGAATGTTATATTAGGACATTTAGTCAATCCCTGCATTTTTGAACTGTACATAACATATTCTTGGTTCTTTCGGTAAAGTCACGTAGAAGGGAAATAATAAAATAATATAAATATTTTTTAATTATTCTTTTATCTTTATATTATTATTTCCCTTCTACGTGACTTTACCGAAAGAACCAAGAATATGAATCCGTGCAGTCACGAAAGCTTTAAATCAATTTGTACATAGCATCTTAAACTTTGAGTTGTATTTAACTCACCAGTTTTTTTTTTATAAAAAAGTTAACATACTACACGAGTTAAACCCGACAATTCAAAACACAATCTACTTACCGAGGCCAGCGGGCTGGGCGTAGGCAGCAGGCCGGCGACAGCACTGGCGGGAGCCAAGAGAGACAGTGCTTTAGCCTCATCTGGTATCTTGCCTGAAAGCAACCGAAAAGAAACAGTCAGACCCCTCCAAACCCACAGACCAGCAGACCTGCCTAGACAGCGCGGCAACGGCGCTTTGCGCTGGGACTAGACTCGCCAGCGTCTACGCAATGCCCTCTTCATAGCTTATCTTCCCTCACCGTGGGGGACGTGGGGGCATTGCATTATTCCAGAGCTGCCAATGGCAATGTCAAGTACATGTTTCAACGAGAGCCCCGTGTTTACTCGGGTAGCTCTTTGGGTGCCCTCCAAAACAGGTTCAACGCAATGGCTGGGACGGAGGATTATGGGCTGAGGGGGAGGTAGAGAGAAGCTGGGTTTTATGTCAAGAGGTCTCAGACAGACACACCGCTTGACGACACATGCACATCTTAACTTAATAAGATTTAAAAACTCCTGTGTTTCAGAGTTTCAAATTACGCACAGATATCCAAGAAATGACACCGTGTTTTTTTTCTCCCGCACATATCAGTTTGAACGTGACTTAGCTATATCACCTGTCCTCGAAACATACTCAAGGCCAAACGATAAGAATCGCTGGGTTTCTCCAGGCACGTTGCTATGAAATTTGCACGCTCAAGCCGCTGGCATCACTATATGGTACAAAAACAATCAAAAAACAGAGAAAACAAAGGGAATTACGGTCCACAGCCCAAACACTGGCAATCTCTGTACAGTGCATTGGCAAATGGAACAGGCAGTTTCTTGAGTCACACATTTTCTTCTCAAGTGTAGATATTCACATTTGCACACGACGGTCCTGATTGTACTTTCTGGTTGCGATTTAAGCAATAAATGGCTATTTGAGCACCTGATTCGTGAAGTCCAAAATGTGAGAAAATTTAAATTTTCAGTGCTACTTTGCATCACAAAATGACATGCGCACATTGAATTTACATTGTTGTCCACTATACCCTTCCGTCGTGTGTTCCCTATAAAAAACGATATTGCGTAAATATGCAAGTACAAAGAGAATAAAATTGTATGGAGGCCATTCTCAGTCAGGGTAAACTGGCGTGCTGGCCCAGGGATATAACTGTAAAAGACGACAAGACAAAGAAAACAACCATTGAGAGTGAAACTTCAACATCACTTCCAAGGCTTGCATTCAAAAAACCCAAACATGATTTCAGTGAATTCAAAATAAAAAAAGCATCTACCACAACACTTCAACCATTTGCAGCGAATATACCACACAGCTGCCGTTATGCACACAACACAATTTGATTAGCGGCCCTCAGTACAGCAGGAATACTTGACTAAAAAAAAACAGAAGACACACGGACACACAGACACTTGACCACGTAAGGGGGGAAACAACAGGGCTGGGGGGTAGAAAAGGGGGTTGCAGAAATGTATATTTAAATAACGAAAATAAAAAAAAATAAGAAAACAAACAAGGGCAGACAACAGAAACGCCGCCATTCGCGGCGCAGTCTTGTTTGGCGGACGGTGCAACCGGTACCCCCGACTCGCTTAGCGGCGAGGAACAATCTCTACTGGAATTTTTTTGGCTTCTGCCTTGAGGCGCCTCTCTAGTAGGCACAAACAAATCACACAAAGAAAGACACAGAGAAGCACCACATTAATCTTTGGGTAACCCCGCAGAGACCCCGCCACATGTGTGCACTCGACTTCCGCAGCAGTCTCCACCCCTTTTTTCTTGCTCCTACTGGAACGAGGCATCTTCTATCATGCATGGGGGGGCGGCTTCTGTCTTCAGCACTTTTTGCCAATATTGCCAACACGGGGGGGAAGGGAGGTTGTCGTCGATCGGGTGACGGACGTGAGAATTTGCTTAAAAATAAAGAGTCTACCTAAAGTCCCCCTCTGATCAAGAACCGGAGTTTTGTTGTCCCCATCGCGATTGTTTTCAGGAGGCTACCAAGCAGCGCCTAATAGATTATGTATTGCTCTTACGACCAAGACACAGCCAGCCGACCCACAGCCCCCTCTTGTGAGACAAGTCAGGGGTTAAGGGGCAGGCAGATGCCTTCTGCAATACAAAATAACAGACAAAGAAAGAAAAACAAACATGACGGGACCGTTATTGCAGAAATGCTCGGGCGGAACAGTCAAAAACGTCTCTTGAACCGGCTGCCCTAAACAAATTGAACACTGCACAATTTTATAGAACTGTGAACATTCACAATTATGCATCTTGCCGTGTTCAACCTTTAACTCACAAATGCTTACGAACTTGCCGATGTTTGTTTATTACGGATAATCATTTGGCAGCGCTAATGAGCGAGTTGCCACTCTCACTGTGGATTGCTGCCGCATCCCGAGCCCTCTGCCAGATTGTGTTAGTGTTGAGAAGTCACGCAGGCATCGCAGATACATGCTCGCATACGCTAGCATTCCGACGGCAGCAGCAGCGACACAATGGGGGGGAAACGGTGCACCAACCTTCAGCGTACGGCACTACGATGAGAGCCCGGTCGATGAACACAGTGTTGGTCAGATGCTGCGACACGCCGACGCTGACCGAATCGCTAAACCTCACGAAACACACCCGCGACGTCACCGGCAGAGGGGAGTCACTGCAAAGAGAAAAGTCAAAGTGTTAGCTAACACGAGGAGAATACAACCGTCTGCTTGTTTCTTATCGCTGGAGAATTTATCGGCAACAATAATGGAGGTTAGCGAGCAAGTGGACCCAGCTTCAGTGGTGAGCTTTGGGTCAATCCACCGATGGCCGAAAGGCCACCCCACTCCGCGTGAGTCGCAGTGATTAACGGACCCTAACCTACTTGATGCTCGTCAGTAGAGGTTAGAGGCAGGCGATTCCCCACTGCGTAGCTCCCCGCAGTAGGCACTTGTGTACTGTGGTCACCCATCAAACAGCACGGTCCTATATGCAGACTCTACAATGCGTGCGTTCCAAAGTGGGACGGGCGGATATCTAAAATGCCGCCCGGCGCCATTTGTCCCCCCAACCGGCATGCTCGACTGCGTTAATGTACACACACCCGTGTAATAGGCTTGCGACGAGGGCGTACCAAATTCAAATAAAAAAACAACACGGCCTCTCATACTCATGATTACGCACCATTTATCGGGAGTGAAAATAAAGTTGGTGTATGTACGCAAATAAACACGCAGAAAAACAAAGAACAGAGTACTAAGGATTCGTGGGATAGCGCACGCCCAGAGTGTGGTGGTTAGTGTAATTGTACAAAGGAAAATAACCTACAAATCGCAATGCCATCAAACAACTCGCGCAGGAGATAGTTGGACAGGATTTTGTACTTTTTTGGGGGTCCAAGTGATGTTTACCAAAAACAGCAGAGACCTGGTGCGCTCGTCACATTTGTAAGACATCAATGAGTCGAGTTTCGGGAAATTGCACGAATTTAGGGCCAATACCGACAATAAATTAGCAAGTATGCGTTTTGGGAAAAGCCCCCTTCGGACAATGCAATAACCATTTCTAAAAAACGTTGCATATGAGCTATCCTTTGTATTAAGGCAGGGTTAATTAAGGAATTTGTTGTGTTTCGATTTAAAACTTTCGTGACTGCAGGGATTCATCTTCTTGGTTCTTTCGGTAAAGTCCCCGACAGACCTGGTCTTCACCTGAGGACGGCTGCTTGCGTTGTGGCCGAAACGTCGTGATAATTATTTTATTATGTTTTATTTTTAATATTTTATTATTTCCCTTCTACGGGACTTTACCGAAAGAACCAAGAAGATGAATTTGTTGTGTTTGTAACAATTCCATGCAGTCCCTTCATAATACAGTATCCAAAATAATACAGGAGGACCTCATACGGCAGGGGATTAACAATAGGGCTCCTCTACATACCGACCTAAGTTTAACACTCTTGAGCAGTGCTACATGCTTGCAGATAAATGCCTGACGTGGCAAGTCTACATTCCTATGGCGAGGGACGATGTATGAAATATATTCAGGATCATTGCCCAAAACGTCGCCTTGTCTTCAAGGCAGTGTTGATGAATATGTTGAGCGTCCATATATATAAACTACGAGTTAATTCCTGTTAAATAGGGGGTTTAAGTACAGATTCATGTGCGCTTATACAATACACACTCTTTCAATTTAAAGCTTTCGTGACTGCAGGGATTCATCTTCTAGGTTCTTTCGGTAAAGTCACGTAGAAGGGAAATAATAAAAATATAACATAATAAAATACAATTCTCACGTTTCGGCCACAACGCAAGCAGCCGTCCTCAGGTGAAGAACAGGTCTGTCGGAAAGACGTGACTTTACCGAAAGAACCAAGAAGATTAATACACACTCTGTACTGTATAGGTAAAACATGTCCAGTTCTCAATTCATTTGCGCTGTTTAAGGTGGAACATTAGTACGCCTGGGAGCTGAGCAGCATGAGATATGGTCAAATAACCCTTATTGGGGAAGCCTTCATGCAACAATGTATTGAAAAAGCTGAAAAGTTATTGATATAAACCGCACTAGGGTCACTCAATTGGTGATCGCTCTTAACAACGTAACAATGCAACCAATTCGTTGACGAGCGGATAAATGACTGCGAGTTTAAGCGAACGAATGAGTCGACGAGTAAACAGAACGAAACTCGATCGCGAGTACTGCTTGGAACGAATCACCTCACATGTTTACCCGGAAGGAATTGCGCGATTAAACTAGTCAGCTACGAGTTACTGAAAGATGCACTCGAGTCACCGATTGAAACCCTAGTGGTACTACCGACTGATAGATGAAGGTTTTTTTCGGTAAAGTCACGTAGGTAAAAATAATATAAATAAAATAAAAAAAATCACGTTTCGGAGGCAACACAAATCTCCGTCAGCAGGTGGGACCGTCACAGCTAAATTCACTGTATCAAGTGATATTAGAATGTAACGAGTGAATGAGTTAATGAATGAGTTAATGAATGAATGAGAGCCACGTGCGGCCCCCCACCCCCTCCAACTCATTCCTGAAGAAGATGGCGGCCGATCGCCGTCATTCGCCTCGAACCGTTTCGACAGCGCACAGAGGAGACCCGCCGCGTCTGGGCGCCAACTCACTCGTGTGGGAAGACGCGAATGTCTTCGATTTTGCCCAGGAACCCGAACAGAGTCTTCATCTGCTCCGTGGTAGCCGCGGGGGCCACGTTGGTCACCTGAATCACGTCCGTCATGGTGCAAACCCCCCCCCACCACCACCACCTCCTGTCGTGTCGAGAATAGAAATGAGCGCTGTGAAATGAAGGCGGTTAATAAACTCGCTGGCTCATTAAAGGGGGGGGGGTCGATGGAAGAAGGGTAAAGGAAGAAATCGGCGAGAAGTGAAATTAAAATGGGAGGAGGTCGAGGCGGACGCAGCCACCAACGCGCGGCATCGCCACAAAATGGCGGCAGCAAACAGGGGGGCCTTCCTCCCAGAGTTCATTGCGCGCAGTCCAGCCTCTTGTAGATTACATACACCGTATAGGCATGGGTGGTGGACCCCGGTGTGTATTACATACAGCATATAGGTATGTGGACCATGTTTTCATTACATACACCGTAGTGGACCTCGGTTTGTATTACATACAGCATATAGGTATGTGGACCGGTGTGTATTACATACACCGTATAAGCATGGGTGGTGGACCTCGGTTTGTATTACATACAGCATATAAGTATGTGGACCATGTTTCTATTACATACACCGTATAAGCATGGGTGGTGGACCTCGGGGTGTATTACATACAGCACATAAGTATGTGGACCATGTTTTTATTACATACACCGCATAAGCATAGTGGTGGGCCCGGGATATATAACATACATCATATAAGTATATCGGCCATGGGTTGGATTACATAAAGCATATAAGCATAGTGGTGGACCTGGAATATATAACATACATCACATAAGCATAGTGGTGGACCCAGGATATATTACATACATAGCAAAAGCATGTGGACCATGTATTGCATTACACACATCACATAAGCATGGTGGTGGACACGAATATATAATATACATGACATAAGCATGTGGACCATGGGTTGGATTACATACAGCACACAGGCATAGTTGGTGGACCAGGGATATATTACATCTATATATAAAATCGCAAATCTGTCTGTCTGTCTGTGTGTCGCCGGACCATACGCAGTTTAATTGGACGAAATGTGAGGGATTTGCGAGACGCGATTGGTCCGGCAGTTGCCTCTGGCAACGGGTAGCGACGCATTCGCTGCGGGATGGACGCCATTTTTTATTCCCGTTAAAAATATGCGCACGCATTAACACGCGACTCTGAGGTAAATTCATCAAAGTTTCACGTCCTCTTCACTCCCCCCCCCCCACCCCAATGTGTGCTATTACTATTATAGGGTCGGTAGATAATAAAATTATAGCGCTTAGACAGTATTATTGTAGCGCGGGGGGGGGGGGTTAACGGCCCCAGTACCCAGCCTCAGCCGGGTGGGCAATCTAGGCGAGGCCGGAGGCTCTGCACGGTACTAGGCCTCGACACCCCACCACACTATAGGCCGTACATATTACTGCACAGCGGCCGAGGAGATCGTGGCTGGGGGGGGGGGGGCAGGGGTAGCAGCCCATCTGTGTATATATGTAAGGTTATTAAGAAATATATTTTTCACCCGGGCAACGCCGGGTACTTATGCTAGTCTATATATATATAATCGCAAATCTGTCTGTCTGTGCGTGTGTGTGTCGCCGGACCATACGCAGTTTCATTGGACGGCGGTTGCCCCTGGCAACGGGTAGCGACACATTCGCTGCGGGATGGACGCCATTTTTTATTCCCGTTAAAAATATGCGCACGCATTAACACGCGACTCTGAGGTAAATTCATCAAAGTTTCACGTCCTCTTCACTCCCCCCACACCCCAATGTGTGCAATTACTATTATAGGGTCGGTAGATAATAAAATTATAGCGATTAGACAGTATTATTGTAGCGCGGGGGGGGGGGGGTTAACAGCCCCAGTACCCAGCCTCAGCCGGGTGGGCAATCTAGGCGAGGCCAGAGGCTCTGCACGGTACTAGGCCTCGACACCCCACCCGTGTCAAGCGACGACTTTGTGGTATAAACTCGATATACCCAGCGTTGCCCGGGGGGGAAATACATTTAAAATCTTCTGAAAACTTTCAAACATTACATACCAATGAAAAAAACAACTGTGTAATTACTTTTTAACCCGACGCGCCAAGAATCGATTTTTTAAATGTTGACTGTACAAATAGTCATTAAGCTGGGTGAGCGTACTGGCAGTCTATAATGTAGACTGTAGCCTGGTTATTAAGCTGGGTGGGTGTACTGGCAGTCTATAATGCAGACTGTAGCCTGGTTATTAAGCTGGGTGGGTGTACTGGCAGTCTATAATGCAGACTGTAGCCTGGTTATTAAGCTGGGTGGGTGTATTGGCAGTCTATAATGTAGACTGTAGCCTGGTTATTAAGTAAAGTGAGTCAATTTGTAACATGTAGGCTTTCGCGACCATTATTCATACAGAACGTTATTGGGTTTAGATCGCCTTATTTATTAATGTGTTGTAACCCTCCACCACCCAACACGGCCAATCAGTAAAAAAGTGTCACGTTGATAAAGGACTAATAGTTCACTGCTTTAGCCCACCGGTGTGTTCAAGCGTGAAACCACAACAATTACCATTTCAGATGAAAAAACAACTGTGTCATTACTTTTAAACACGACGCGCCAAGAATCGATTCTTTAAATGTTGACTGTACAAATAGTCATTAAGCTGGGTGAGCGTACTGCCAGTCCATAATGTAGACTGTAGCCTGGTTATTAAGCTGGGTGGGTGTACTGGCAGTCTATAATGTAGACTGTAGCCTGCTTATTAAGTAAAGTGAGTCAATTTGTAACCCGTAGGCTTTCGCGACCATTATTCATAAACAACGTTATTGGGTTTAGATCGCCTTATTTATTAATGTGTTGTAACCCTCCACCACCCGACACGGCCAATCACGGCCACCACCGGTGACAATTATTTGAACCGGTCCTGGGCCTCCCCTAGGTCGACTCAGCCTCAAAACGAGTAACTGGTGTGGCGTATGAACATCGCCACTGGGGAGACAAAGGCGGCCGGGCGTGGTGGATCCAAGTCCCGGGCGAAGCCGGGTAGTACAGCTAGTACATCATATAAGCATGAGGATCATGTGTTGCATTACATACACCGCATAAGCGTGGTGGTGGACCCGGGATGTATTACATACAGCACATAAGCATGGTGACCCTGGGATGGATTGCATATATGCAGAGTATAGATTGCATACTCTCCTACAGGATATAGCTGCCCACATGTTTGGCGACGCTTCCTCGGTTGCGGTGCACAGGCACAGACAACGCAAATAAAAGAGAAAGTTTATAATAGGCGACGTTTTGGGCAATGGCCCTTACGAGTAATGGAATAACCATTTCCAAAAACGTTGCATGAGCTAATCCTTTGTATTAATTCAGGGTTAATTAAGGAATTTTGCCACAAAACGTAGCCTACGATATTACGCTAAAGCACTCTTCTGTACGTGTTGAGTTTTTAGCGACTATATTCGCCAATTCTTTACCTTTTAGGTATGACCCCCCCCCCCCACCCACCTCATCCCAAAACCAGGTTATTGAAGCCACAATACAGAGATTATCCACCTGCCCATTCGTGGTGTTAGACTGTTAGTAAGGCGTGGGTTGGGTTCCAGCTCATGGCCACCAACACCGGTGACGATTATCTTGAACCGGTTCTGGGCCTCCCCTAGATCGACTCGGCCTCAAATGAGTACCTGGTGCGGTGTGTAAAACATCGCCACTGGGGAGACACAGATGGCCGGGTGTGGTTTCTGGCCACCCCCTTTCATAGGTGCTCCCTTAACAGCACGCTAACAATGATGGTTATTGCTTTTAAGAGCATTTAATCTCAAGGTCACAGATATGTCTGAAAGACTTCTGGCTCCCAGGTGTCTTTTATACAGGTAACGAGCTGAGATTAGGAGCACACTCTTAAAGGGAGTGCTCCTAATCTCAGCTTGTTACCTGTATAATAGACACCTGTTCACAGAAGCAATCAATCAATCAGATTTCCAAACTCTCCACCATGGCCAAGACCAAAGAGCTCTCCACTAGGGTTTCAATCTGTGACTCGAGTGCATCTTTCAGTAACTCGTAGCTGACTAGTTTAATCGCAAATTTCCTTCCGGTTAAGCATGTGGGATGATTCGTTCATTAAATCCTTTATATTAAGTTTGCTTGCTTGCTTGCTTGCGTGCTTGCTTGCTTGCGTGCTTGCTTACGACCGTGCAAATCTTTCGGTCGTGTTTTAACCCACTTCCCGTGATCCAATCGAGCTGACATTTTGCACACAGACTCGTTGTGCCAGACAATTGATGTTCGTGAAAAAAAATTCCCAAAATTTGACACTTTTTAGGCAAATTTTTTTTATTTTACATATATTCAAATATAACTCATTCATGGCTTTGGCTGAACGTCAGAGTGTAGGAGCCCAGAGCGTAACCCCTCCACAGGCCGTGGTGGAGTAGCGCAGTTAGTAGTGCCCTCGCTTCCCATGCCAAAGGTCGCGGGATCGATCCCCGCGTCCTCCACAGGCGAATATATTTTAAATCCTTTATATTAAGTTCGCTTGCTTGCTTTAGACCGTGCAAATCTTTCGCTCGTTTTTAAACCCACTTCCCGTGATCCAATCGAGCTGACATTTTCCACACAGACTCTTTGTGTGACAATTAATTTTCGTGAAAAAAAAAATTCCAAAATTTTACACTGTTTAGGGAAAACAAATTAAATATTTAATTACCAATTGCTTAATGGTGGCAGACAATCATCTGACCCATAGGTGGCAGCCATCTCAAGCCAGGGGACGAGAGGACTCTAGCCGCCACGCATATAAAGGATTTATAGTGAAAAACTTTGTTTTTACGGGTTTACTTGTTTTACTCGTCGACTCATTCGTTCGCTTAAACTCTCAGTCCTTTACCCGCTCGTCAACGAATTGGTTGCATTGTTACGTTGTTAAGAGCGATCACCAATTGAGTGGCCCTAGTGCGGTTTATATCAATAATTGTTATCAGTCTTAATTTGGAGCTTTCGTGACTGCAGGAATTACTCTTTGGTTCTTTCGGTAAAGTCACGTATAAAGTTTTCTGGTTAGATTTTTGTTGCTATTTCATTTATACCTGATGATGATTGCGTGTGTTGCAATCGAAACGTCGTATGCTATTATTTAATGTATTATTTGATCTTTATACGTGACTTTACCGAAATAACCAAATAGTAATTGTTATCAGCATTGTCAAGCCATTGTTGCATGAATGCTTCACCAATAATGATTATTTGACCATATCTCATGCTGCTCAGCTCCCAGGCGTACTAATGTTCCACCTTAAACAGCGTAAATGAATTGAGAACTTGACATGTTTTTACCTCACAGTACAGAGTGTGTATTCATATTCTTGGTTCTTTCGGTAAAGTCACGTCTTTCCGACAGCCCTGTTCTTCACCTGAGGACGGCTGCTTGCGTTGTGGCCGAAACGTCGTGAGAATTGTATTTTGTGTTTTATTTTAATTTTATTATTATTTCCTTCTACGTGACTTTACCGAAAGAACCAAAGAGTATGGATCCTTGCAGTCACGAAAACTTCAAATCTAGCTATGCAATAGCACATTCCTGCGGAGGGAGCTGGTAGGAACGTTGGGTTGCTCGGTCAATAGCCTGCAGGGTCAACGGCGGCGTGGTGGATTCCGCAAATATGCCCGACTGTGAGGGCGGGCACAAGCCGGCGTGAGTAGGTTACACGTTGAGTTTTATAAGGGCACCACGGGGTGACCAGCCCCTCCCCTACCCAGCCCCACCCCTCCCACCCCCACCCAGCCCCTCCCCACCCTCCCCTCTCCACCCAGCCCCTCCCCACCCAGCCCCTCCCCACTCAGCCCCACCCCTCCCACCCCCCACCCAGCCCCTCCCCACCCTCCCCTCTCCACCACGCCCCCACCCCTCCCACCCCCACCTAGCCCCACCCTCCCCACCCAGCCCCTCCCCACACAGCCCCTTCCCACTCTCCCCACCCTCCCCACCCTCTCCACCCAGCCCCAGCCCTACCCTCCCACTCCCCACCCAACCCCACCCTCCCCACCCAGCCCCTCCCCACCCAGCACCTCCCTGCACGACGGACGGACACAATAATCCACTGTGGGCAGGTTGAACCAGTGGGTTCCTACCAGTAACATAATAATTATACAGCTACGATTAACCCGACCGCACACGTTGCGTCGAGGTGCGTTTAGAATATTTAGATAATTTTGCTGCTATAAATTTCCACGCGATAAGCCACTTGGCTGAGCTTATCATTTGTGTCCAAGTCTCTTCTGAAAAACACCACCACCTCCTGCTGCCATCACCACCACCTGCTGCTGCCATCACCACACCCATCACCACCACCTCATCCTCCTGCTGCTGCTGCCATCACCGGCGACATAAACACCACCACCACCTCCTGTCATCACCACCACCATCACCACCTCCTCCTCCTGCTGCTGCCACCATCACCTCTTCCTCCTGCTGCCATCACCACCACCATCACCACCACCACCTCCTGCTGCTGCTGCTGCCATCACCACCACCATCACCACCTCCTCCTCCTGCTGCTGCCACCATCACCTCTTCCTCCTGCTGCCATCACCACCACCATCATCACCACCACCACCACCTCCTGCTGCTGCTGCTATCACCACCACCATCATTATCACCACCACCTTCATCCTCCTGCTGCTGCCATCACCACCACCATCACCACCACCACCTCCCCATTCACCCCCAGGCACTCATCTCCTCCACATCGTCCCACGCCGCCCGCCCTTTCTCTCTCTTGTGAAAGAGCAGCGAATTCACACTCTTCGGTTTGACTCCTTGCAGCCACGAAAGCTTCAAATCTCAGGAATAGCAGCGATGTCCACGCATCGACGAGGCCCTCCCAAGGAGGAGGAGGAGGAGGGCCCCGTGCCCCGGGGCCTCCTCAAGGCGGCCAGGACGAGCGGGCAGCTCAACCTGGCGGGACGAGGCCTCGCCCAAGGTGAGCGGCCTGCCCGGCGGCGTGCGGCAAGGCCGGCCAGGGTCGCTAGGCAAGCGGCGTGTTCGGCAGGCTTCCCGGGAAGTGCGTGACAAGGCCTCGGCATGTTTGTTTTTTGTTGTTGTTATGTCACGTTTATACATCGTTCTTTAAACATTGAGATTACTGTGATGGATTAATAGTCGTTTTATTGACGTATGTGCTTTATTTAACCGTTGTAATTTGGGGTTTGTAATTAATGTGTGGAAGTTTTGTATGGGCATTGCAGTCCGTTATTTAAGCATTCATTCTCATGTACAGTACGAACATTCTGTATATAACCTGTAATGCAACTTGCGAATACTTTAATGCGGTCGAGAGATTAACCACTTGTTATAATCGAAGATTTGGTTTGGTAATTGTTGCAATGCGCAATGTTCTTGGAGTTCATAATACAGTACAGGGAAGTATAGGAATTTGCGGATGATGTAACTGATTAAATATTAAACAACACTAACGATGGATATTTTACAGATTTGTGACCAAAATACAAACACAAATGCGGCCTTATTTTGAGTTTTTTTACAATTTCCTCCCAAAAAATTGTTAAAAAATTACGAAATCGAACTTCTTTCGCACCGTACGTTTCAGTATTATTTATTTGGTTTAGCCCTGTGAGCCATTCGGCTCTTGAATCGGGTGCAACCGCAACAAACAAAAAACAAAAACATGAACAAGAAAACATCTTAAAGTGACTATGTGACTTTGTGCAAACAGAAAATCCAAGAAAAGACAGCAAAATATTGCAGAAAAAGCACCGTACATCAACGCTGTGTGCACAAATCCCAGTGGGATGCAAGTCAAACAACAACAACACAACTTAGATTAAGGCCATCAGTCTAACTCTGTACTACAACAAACATGGCCAAACCAAAAAACGTTTCGAAATCACCAAAATAAAGCCATAAAAGCAATGTACGTTGCCAACCGGACAACAAACAGAACACAAAAAGCGATTCTAAAGAAGTTAGTTTGTCAATCAAGGTGGTTTAAAAGTGCACAGCTCGCAGTGGCTTCCTAATATCAGCAAGAAGAGCGTTCCAGACGGCCGCAGAAGCGCATCATCTGAACGCGCGCGATGCAGTTGACCGTCTTGTTTCGATGGATATGGATAATAAGCATAGACACACTGATCCGTGCTTGTGTTTGGGATTAAGCCACATGGTAATTTTGTGCCGCAATTCTTCGCAGAGAAAATGGTTCAAAAGCTGAGAAGTGCACGGAGAGACGTGGGGAGCGAGAGATGCCCGCTTTGAATTACACCGAGCGAATACGTGAAGCAGGGGGGAGTAAACAAAAACATGGCATCATTGACAATTACAAATTAAATTGGCTTGGGCAGAACACTTCGCTAGAAGGGATGGCTGGCCAATGGACGAGACCGGTGATGGAATTTCAGCCGGCCAAAGGAGGGAAGTTGTCGTTAGAGGGATGACCACCGTGGAGACGAAGCGATGGAATTGAGGTGCAGCAGTGAGATGGGTGATGTCTTGGAGGGGGGAGCTTTCATCCAGCACTGGATTGACAAAGGACTATAAATATTATAGTACAGATTATTTTTTTAATATCTCGTCTCTTAACATCCAATATTTACACAGTACTTGTTCATACATATATTTAATTCATGTGCGATCCATGAATGTTGTATAGTATGTAGAAACGTATTAATTACAGTATACACTTCTTATCTTTCCTACATTTACATAAGCTTACCTTGACCCTAGTTAAAGAATATTGATTTTGCCACCACTACCCATGTCCCCATGCCTGACTTTCTACCCTTTATCCCTTGTAAAGAAAAGTAAAAGTGGCAAGCCATGGGACATTGTTCCTCCCAATTGGATGCCTGCACCAAGCCAGTGATGGAAATTCCACATTCCCATGGCGCAGCCAGTCTGTCAATCAGGCATCTACTATAGACTTCCCGCAGCGGTGTGCTTGTTCTTCACTACAGAGTGGTTATGTTATAAAACAGCATTGCATAGTGGAGAACTGCCTTGTCGGAGGAAATGGAAGACTAGAGAGTGCACCTTGACACAGGAAGTATACAAGTTCACGGGATTCTAACCCATAACGTTCAAATGTAAAAGCTGCTCAGTGCCTGACTCCTGTATGAAGAAAACCCTTTTTTTCCTAGAATCATCTGAGACACATGGCACTCTATATATACTCTTAGTTATTTCGGTAAAGTCACGCAGGTAAAAAAATAAAATAAAAAATCACGACGTTTCGGAGGCAACACAAGCTTCCGTCTTCAGGTGAAACTGTCACAGCAAAAAACGGAAGCTTGTGTTGCCTCCGAAACGTCGTGATTTTATTGTTTTTATTTTTTATTAATTTTAATTTCACTTTTTTTACCTACGTGACTTTACCGAAAGAACTAAGAGTATGAATCCTTGCCGTCACGAAAGCTTCATATCTAGAACACATGGCACTACCTAAGCCCCAACTCTCAGCACCTTACCCTAACCTCTCCCCCACAGAGGCCGGTGAGCTCCCCCCCACAATGTATATACTGGTGGCACTGCCAATTAAACGGATAAATGACCAAACCCCCACCCTGCGATCCATACACCGCTCTGCTCGCAACCCTTCCCTCCCGGCTCAGTGCCACTGGCGGTGTGGCGCATCAACGTGGATCCGCCTGAGGAGGTAGCGCGAGGGGTGGTGTTCGGAGCGTCCGGCGAGCGCTGGTGGGAGCAGGCCGACCTCACGAAGCTCATCCTCGCCTCCAACCGCCTGCGGGTCCTCTCCGACGACCTGCAGCTGCTGCCCGCGCTCACCGTGCTTGACGTCGGTGAAAGAAGTTGAACACACATACGACATGCGTACATACATACATACGAGCGGAGTGTAATTCTAATACGAACGCAGTGCGATTATGTTAATTCTAATACGATTCTAATCCCGAACCTCCGATTAGCACGGTTGGCTACGTACGGTGCGAAATAAGTTCTACGTACATGCAGATATGTCCACGATGCACTGTCAAAAGTGAATGGGGAACTGTAAGAGGCGGCCAGGTGGCTCAGAGGTCAAAGTGATGAGCTGGATTTCAATTTTGGGGCCCAAGTCATGTGTTAGCAATGACAGTATTCACTTCCGTGAGATTTTTTGGCCAAAATATGCCAATGTCTCCATTGCAATGCATAGGGTTAAATTAAAAGATGTGTTTTGTCCGTGTTGTCAAGATTTGAATCTGGCCTTGGTGTTTACAGGACCCCCATCTCCTGCCATGTAGGGAGAGGGGAAGGTGTCTTGGTCAAAGTGATGCACTGAATAATAACCTGTTGCTGTACATATGTTGTTTAGTTAAGTCAGACGATACAGACAAGACCAAAAGGCCCAAAGAGTGATACAGACAAGCTCGTGTTTGCATAAAATAGGTTACAAGCCAAAATCACAGTATTATTGCAAACTACAGGGGTGGCTTTAAACTCTGGTTGGACGATTCTTCGTTAATGAAGGCCAGTTAAATAACAGTCGTGTGTCCGTGCTTAATTGCACTCATGAATGCCAATATTTATTATTTCCCTTCTACGTGACTTTACCGAAAGAACCAATAATATGAATCCCTGCAGTCACGAAAGCTTTAAATCAAAATTTTATTTTTGCATTGTCAAGTGCTGCTTGGCTTCACCTCCGTTGCATTATTGTAATAGTTTATGATGTTCTATCCCTCACTTGCCTACAATAGGTACATGACAACCAGCTGACTGAGTTGCCACAAGTGCTGGGAGAACTGGTTAACCTGCAGAAGCTGAATGTCAGGTGTGGCAACTGCATCGCATGAGAAGGGCAGTTCCACAATTTTTAGACACTACTGATGTGGTTCAACGTTAGTAAAAACATCTAAGTGGCTTTTCACCCGGCCAGTAATGTGTCAACTTGTTTGGACCATAATTCAGGTAGATATAATTTGACACTTTCTTGATGAGGGAGAAATCTTCGGTTGAAATACCATGGTGTTGGACATTTACGGATGGCCATTTTTATCCACGCTGGGATTGTGATTGTGCGTTTCGTTTGGTGTAGGTGTCAAACCATTGACATATCAATAAGCCATATCTATACAACTATGGATAATCATATTCAAAATGACACCCCGCATGTACTGTAAGGATGATTTAAAAAATTTCGACTGAGGTTGCCTAATTTGTAGAACTTCCTGTATATTTATGAACGGCTTATAATCATCGTATAACAAAGGGACGTCAAACACGACTCTTTACTTTTCACAACAATACCCGGACACTGCATCCAGAAGCAACATACATTCAGTGTGGTAGTTGAATTCATTTCTGCATTTTTTTGTAATGTGAGAAACATCAACAAAAAAGCGAAATGTCCTTTTTGTTCTGCAGCCACAACAAGCTGCAGACCCTGCCCGAGAGCCTGTGGACAATCAGCAGTCTTCTGAGCCTGCATGTGGAGCACAATGAACTGGAGGGAATTTCCAAAAACATAGGAAACCTGGCACGCCTCGAAGAGCTGGTGAGGGATATTCCTGCTCAAAAATACATTAAACATTTTTACTTCTGATTTGTTGGATCCTAATCACCATCATCATCTTCTACTCCTGGACAAAGGCCTTCCCATGCTGTTAGACTACTCCATGGCTCTGCGTTGCCACAGTCTGACTCATGTGTGTGTAAACCTATCGCATCACTCCATCTTTAATATCATCACTTGAAGCACTGTGTCTTGCCCTAGCCCACTTTTTACAACTGCCAATTCACTGTCTAATTTGCATTTGTTCCTTGAACCTTGTACTCACGTTTGCTGGATTAATGCACTTGAATGTGAAGTCCATTGGTGTAGCGCGGATGGCATGCGTCCTGCTATGAGGAATGAAATGGGTGCCCCCTGTCCCATTTCCCCCTTCTTTGTGGCCTAGCACCTGGGCCCCTCTGGCCCATGAGTCCCGGGGTGTAATTGTACTGCCTGTAAACTCGATAGCTATTCCGCTAGCCAAGCCTTTACGAATATTATAAATATTGCTTATTGTTTGTATGTTTCAACTTTTATACATTTCATCTGAAGAGCTTACGATCTGCTCTCTACCAGGACCTCTCCTCCAATCGGTTGACAGCTCTCCCGGGCACTCTGGGAAAACTGACGCGGGTCACCAAACTGAACGTCGCTGAGAACAAGCTCAGGGAGCTGCCAACCGAGATTAAAAGCATGAAGGGTAACGGCGGCACGCCCACCACACGCACGGGCGGTGGATGGACAGGTTGCGTCTGACTGCGTGCCTCTGCCACAGGTCTGTGTCAGCTGGAAGCCACCCACAACCTGCTTGAGAGTGTTCCAGCAGCGCTGGGTGGCATGGCTTCCCTGCAGCAGCTCTACCTGAGGCACAACCGGCTGAAGAGCCTACCCGAGCTGCACAATTGTGCAGCCCTCAAGGTGACGTGTGCTTCCCAGCAATGGGAAGCTAGCTGGTTAAAAAAAAAATCCTTTAAACTCCGATTTTATCCCAACAGATTGTGCGATCGTGCGATCGGCACCATATCTTGAGATGAAGTATCAATTTGCATTTATGGCAGGGTAGTGCAACCCCCTTCATTTTGGAGAACAGCCCATGAAAATGGATATCACAGAGCCTCCTCTAAGATCCTTTGAAGTGACCTCTGCTCCACACACAGTAGGAGGAGAGGCAACATGTTTCCACCTGCCCTGCCACTCGGCATGATGTGCGCCACACGAGGGTCAAACTGACACATTTTACACGAAATTAAATAATACAAACAAATGATGAACAATACAAATGAAATGGTTACAAATTAGATTTGTTTTTAAAAGAATAGGATTGTGATGCCAAATCATAACAATTTATCAACGCGATGGTGGTGATGAGTGGTGGGGTGAGGGCGGTAAATCGTTGAATGCGTAACAGGAGTTGAACGACGCAGGATTGCACGTCCGCACTACTGCACGCGGTAGAGTACAGCTGAGGGTCTCTGTGCCTTCGCAGGAGCTGCACGTGGGGAACAATCAAATCAGCGAGCTGGGCCCTGAGCACCTACGTCCGCTGGGTGCCATCAGCGTGCTGGACCTGAGGGACAACAAGCTGAAGGAGCTGCCGGACGATGTGACGCTTCTGCACGGTCTGGAGCGCCTCGACCTCACCAACAACGACATCAGCAGGTGATCACTGGGGGGACTTAGGTGTCCTTAATGAGGACTTAAATAACCTTTTGGTGGGTCACGCACGAGCACAACATATTTTGGCAGGGGTGGGGATATTTTCCTTACCTAGGGTCGAATGGGACGTTCGAATGGCTTTTTGGTGGGTCACGCATTAGTCGGCACGAGACTTGTATGACGCGAGGACTGTCTGCATTGACTGAACAGAAGTAACTTGGAAGAGGACAAGAAGGCGCACGAGCGTGCTAAAACTGTAATGCAGTTTTGCCACGGTGAAAGTTTTCTCCTCTAGTCAATTGTATACAATTCATCAAAGAAATTGTACGATGATGTGCCATTTAGGCTGTTAGAGCGAACGATATGGAACAAACCGTAAAAAAACTAATGAGAAATAACACGAGCAATAAAAGAGACAGGACAAATGGGATGAAAGAAATTCGAATGGATAGAAAGAAGACGGTAAACACGAGACGAGACAGATTCAGTCGTTGAATCACGATGACAATTTAGCCAGTCACAGAAGCGGAGAATCACGTTCTACCTGTTTAACCTCCTCTGTTATCGTACATAGAGAATCCTATCGTGGTATGATCCTATGGAATCTATTAAAATTAAATCATTATATCATACGTGTTACAGAAAAGTTTTGCTGGCTGCCTGGGCTAGACGGACAGACGGACGGTCACAGCTGCTAGTTTGATACAAGAACAAATCTTTAGTGCACGATTCAATGAATGTATTGTTATTACCATCATTTCGGTCGATGAATCGTTATATTTCTATTCGCAAAGCTCCAATCCTTTGGAACTTGCCGCGCGAGCTCTGAATGCAAGTACGCTTGGACAAAATGTGCTCACTTTTCATGGACATCCAACGCGTCGATTTTAAAAAGGTGCCGGCTAATTGCGAACGACTGCATGATGAACGTGTTGGGGCTTTGTGCTTTTGCTTGCGTGCCATGCAGCCTGCCTAACGCACTGGGAAACCTCGGGAAACTGAAATCCCTCGCTCTAGAGGGAAATCCATTGCGGGCCATTCGCCGAGACATCATCAACGTAAGCTTTCCGTTGTTTTTTGTCAATGGATATGGAACAAACACTGCATCCCAGCTGCAGTGTGTGTCCATAGCAGCAGCGTGTGTGCCAAGCGCCCAATATAATTCAGGTTTGTTTGATGTTGGATGCAATTTTAACGCTTTCCATCTCGAGTTGAAAGCGTTTATGCATTAGCTCTGTCTATCCCACTGGAACGGGGAGGCACTGTAATGCTCGTAAAAAAATATCCAATATGAATGAACATGTAGTCTTAAAGTTGTGTTGCGATTATGGACCTTGCCTATTGAAAACAACACAAATATATCAATTGTGTTGGGCAAAATTTGGAGGCGTGGAGAGCGAAAAGGAATATTTGCAAATATGCAAATGTGTTTTGCCATGACAGCTATGCATCGGCTTCCATTCTGAGAACATGCACATGTTGGAAAGCATCACACAACCCCAAGCATATTCATGATTTATCCTAACCTGTATATTCAACATTCCAGAGAGGAACACAAGAAATCCTGAAGTTCCTGCGGAGCAGGATAGAGGGTGAGCGTGTGCAGCAGCAGCAGCAGCGCACATTTATTTCTTGTGTCTTGATAATTGTTTTTTTACCCTTCTATCTGGCAACAAAACTGACACCTTTTTTACAAGGAGTCACGTTTGCATAGACCACAATACCTGCAGTCATAATGCAAACAAAAAAAACATAACTCTGATAATCTGCACTGTCCTTGAAGTTGATTGGTCCACACCAGAGACAGGTGTCAGTTTTGTTGCCAGATAGAAGGGTAAAAAAACAATTATCTTATTTTTACTGGCAAATGAGGTTCCAATGGTGTTCTTGTGTCTTGTTAAACCGCACTCGGAAATACCACGGACGCCATAGCTGCAGTCGAGGCACGTGTATAGCGGAGCGCCGTTGATTTGGAACACGCTGGAGTTTATTAGTTGCATGTTAAATCCACGTGGTGGGGCGCCTTTTGCTGCCCTTAACGTGACGTCTCGTCAAAACGGGTTTCTCGTCGACGTAAAAAACGAGTGGAGGACTATGAAACCTGCAGAGCCAACCGGGAGCGAGGACAGCCCTGACACGGTGACGGCCATGACCCTGCCGAGCCAGGGAGGCATCAACGCCTTCACCTTGAGCAGCACGCAGAAAGCTCTGCACTACAGGCAAGCGCGTTTACCAGCATCACCACGTGAACCTCCGAAACCTCGCTTTTTTATTCGGCTTGATTTCTCCCATCACATCCACGTAAAAGGGGCATGCTCGGTCATACAGCATGCATCTGCCAATCTCGTCAGATCCCGGAAGCCAAGCAGATTTTGTGGGGGGGTTGATCCTGAAAAGGAAAAAATAATAGTCCTTGATGGTATCGGCCATGGGTCAGCAACCTGTAGCTCCAGAGCTGCATCCAGCTGTTTAAGGACTGCTTCGTGACGTGATTATTGAGAACCGTCTCGTATCCACATGCATTGTTGCTCCTGATATATCGATTTTTTTTTGTTACGAATTCGAAAAAAAAATGCTCTTATTATTTTGGTTGCCGCCCCCATGGTATAGGCAGTCGGCGGCGATTACATAAGTGTCCTTTTGTTTGAAATGAATCTTCTTGGCCTTCACGTGGCTAAACTAAGGACAATGACTTGACGGTGGGGGTGGTGGTGGTGGCTTGGGGAATGCAGTGGGAAGAAGGCTGCTGAGATTCCCGACGAGGTGTTCGAAGCCATCCGAGGGAGCAAAGTGACGGCCGTGGACTTCAGCAAGAACCAACTAAGCACCATCCCTCCCAGGTAAACGCCGGCCCAGGTAGACACCAGCCCAGGTAGACACTAGCCCAGGTAGACACTAGCCCAGTTAGACACGAGCCCAGGTAGACACTAGCCCAGGTAGACACCAGCTCTGGTAAACAAGCCCAGGTAGACACTAGCCCAGGTAGACACTAGCCCAGGTAGACACTAGCCCAGGTAGACACGAGCCCAGGTAGACACCAACCCAGGTAGACACTAGCCCAGGTAGACACGAGCCCAGGTAGACGTGAGCCCAGGTAGACACGAGCCCAGGTAGACACTCGCCCAGGTAGACACCAAACCAGGTAGACACCAACCCAGGTAGACACTAGCCCAGGTAGACACTAGCCCAGGTAGACGCTAGCCCAGGTAGACGCTAGCCCAGGTAGACACGAGCCCAGGTAGACACTCGCCCAGGTAGACACTCGCCCAGGTAGACACTAGCCCAGGTAGACACGAGCCCAGGTAGACACTCGCCCAGGTAGACACCAACCCAGGTAGACACCAACCCAGGTAGACACCAGCCCAGGTAGACGCTAGCCCAGGTAGACGCTAGCCCAGGTAGACACTAGCCCAGGTAGACACTAGCCCAGGTAGACACTAGCCCAGGTAGACACTAGCCCAGGTAGACACCAGCTCTGGTAAACAGAAGCCCAGGTAGATGCTAGCCCAGGTAGACACGAGCCCAGGTAGACACTAGCCCAGGTAGACACGAGCCCAGGTAGACACTAGCCCAGGTGGACACCAGCCCAGGTAGACACCAGCTCTGGTAAACAAGCCCAGGAAGACGCTAGCCCAAGTAGACACCAGTTCAGGTAGACACAATTGCACTGCTCAAGCACACTCCCGCTACGTTTATCCATATTCATTCCAACAATTCGCATCTTGTCACCAGAAGGCAAACGGTTGTGGCACAACATGCCATTGTGTGATGTCACAACGTGGCACAGACATTGTGATTACTATTAAAATGTTGTATGTATGTTGACATTTAAATATAAGCGACATGCATAGAAGCTGTATATATAAGGATAGACATTTCTTTGTGCACGACCTGAATGCAAAATGTATCATTGTGCCATTTATGCAGGAAAGCCACTGGCTAATTATTTTTCAAGGAATTTTGACTAAAGTCACTTAGGGTTCACTGTTAATGCTTGAGGCTCAGAGATATGCTTCAGGATTCTTATGGATTGTTAATTTCTGAGACCCAGACATCCAGAAAGAGGCACATTTAGTTTCCCGGGGTTGAGTGTTAATTTCAAAGGCTCAGAATAAAGCACCCTCAGGGATTCTTATGGTTCAGTGTTAATATTGGAGGCTCATAAGGACCGTTTTGAGAGCCGAGAAGGACATGGTTGTTTTGTAAACCATGTCCGAAGCACGTAGTTGTTTTAAAAGCCACACCATGTAGTCATTGTTATTTAGCACGTGTGTTTGGGAACAGGATCCGTAAAGTTGGAGCTTGCAGAATTCGGTCACCGCTGGTTGGATCATCAGGTTCCCTGAGGGGGGGGACACTGAATCCAATGCCCCCCTATGTGGTCATAAGGAAGTTCTTTGCATTGTGTGACATGAGTGTGTCTGTTCGCATTCTTTTGATTACATAAACGGCTCCGCTGCGAAGCATAACGCACGTTAGATCTTCTTCGAGTGCATCTCCAGCACCGTTCATGGAATCTAAATGTGTCCGCGGCAGGATCGTGGAGCTGAAGGACATGGTGACGGACGTGAATGTCGGGTTCAACAAGATTTCTGTCCTCTCGCTCGAGCTGTGCATGCTGGGAAACCTGACTCACCTTGACCTCAGGTGAGACCTGCACCAGCAGTGTTGTATTTTATGTGGGGTTTGGAATTTTTTTTTTCTTCCCCCACTCCTCTGATTAGCACAGTTGGCTATGTACGGTGCGAAAGAAGTTCAACGTTCAGACATCTTTCAATGATCGTACTCGTACTTTAACTTGCTCCATACAAAAATAAGGTCGCCGTTATTTCTGGCTTCCACAACTTTAACTTAAATGAAATTTCATTTTAGGAACAATGCCCTCAGCTCTCTCCCGAACGAACTGGAAGCACTATGCAGACTGCAGAGCATCATCATCTCCTGCAACAGGTTTGGCTCTACGGCACATCAGAAATTGCATTGATAAGGATGTCGCAAATACCATCGCATGCAGTTTAGTTGCCCCCTTGCCTTGACTATTGCAACTCTGCCGTACGGATTAAATTATGGCCTCGGCAAACGCCTACCACCGTGTCCAAAACAACACCCTCCTCGTCAGAGTTGTTTGCCTGGCCCCACCTCTCACGTGCTCTTGAAACCTTTTGAAGGAGCTGCATTGGTTATCAGTCCTGAAGAGGAGTCCAGTTGAAGGTTGCAGTACTTGCTTTTATAGTAAAGGCAACGAGTCAGCCAACCTGCCTGAGCAATGGCATCCACATATTTGTACCATCACGAAACCTACGTTCATCTACTACGGTGGACCTGCTGTTTGTGAAATCCACTTGGCAGCTTAGGACAGCAGAATGGGCCACATTTCATCTGCAGCCCCGGTGGTCTGAAGCAGTCTTCCAATAGAAGTTCCGTCAGCTGGAACAATATGGGTGCTTTTAAGACCAGTATGAAAACATGTATTTTCTCTTCCGTTTAATTGAGTTAAAATTTCTCGGTACCATCCGCACTTTCGTCTCAGCTTCTCGCTGATAATGGCGCCGTATAAATATTGGATTGATTGCGCACCGATGTCACACACGATGCGCGACACCCACTTCCCCAAATCGCTTGCCCTCTTCGCTTGCCCTCGTCGTCATTTCACTTTCCTTCCACCTTCGCTTGTCCCCTGTGCCCCATTCACTTATCCATTCGCCGACACCCCTTGGCTTGCCTCGCGCGATAACCCGGGTGGTATCGCGTGCGGCAGGTTCCGCGAGATCCCCCCAGTGTTGTATCGCGTGGGCACGCTGGAGACGCTGTTGGCGAGCGACAACCAGATCGGCACAGTGGACGCGACGGGACTGAGGTCGCTGGAGCGGCTCGGCACGCTCGACCTGCAGAACAACGACATCATGGTCGTCCCGCCGCAGCTGGGCCTCTGCGCGAGCCTCCGGTGAGGGGTCGGCAAGACAGCGTAGCACCCCTCGGATAATAATTATCCGTGATAGTTAATAAAAGGTGTTCGTTTCTTTGCCGGCTGCAAAACTCTTAAGGGCAGCTCAGAGGTTCCCGGAGTTCTCTCTTTGTATTTGGCTACTGCGAGAAATTTCCACGTGATCAGTCACTTAGTTGAGCTGTCAATTGTCGCCAGGAGGAAGCGAAGTGAAAGCTAGTAAAAAAAAGTTAATAGTTTAGTGTTTTAATTTTTTTGTGAGGCATCGTGTAAATCGCCCCTTTTTCCCCACCCTCTGGGCAGCCCTGCCTCATTCCAATGCTAAACTTATCATCTCCTAAACCGACGGATTAAAATACGGCATTGGACTGACCGTCGGCTCTCGACTTTGCAACTTGGTGATGCGAGCAATAGGAAGCGAGGGAAAAACCACCCCTTGAGACGCAGACGTTAACTGTAGAGCTCCCCCATGGCAGCGAATTTCGGTGCTGGTGTATGAAAAGCCGTCCCCCCACCCCGTCCCCCCCCGTCCCCCCCAGGTCCCTGCTGTTGGGAGGAAACCCATTCCGCTCACCGCGTCCTGCCCTGCTCTCCAAGGGAACAGCCACGCTCCTTGAATACCTGCGTGACCGTATCCCTGTGTAAGTGCGGCCCCAGTGCGCACGGCACTCTGCACTTCTGGAGCAGCACTTACCTGTGAACTGGCGCACGTGTACACACTACTGTGCGCACACGGCATGTAAAGGTGATGATTAACCCCTCCAGCCCCCCCCCACCCCAAAACCAAAAAAATATTTAATTGCATATCAGGTTTTGTACCTTCATAACAAAAATTATTCAAGTAAATACCACAATTGACGCGGTCATGGACGTGTACAGAGAAGGCTTTGAGAAGGCCCCTCCGGGACCAGCCTCTGCCACAAACATTTTTATGATAAATTTTCATAATTCAGGGTTGTGATTCACAAAAAATTCTCGTCTCAATATTTCTTTGATTTGTAAAATCCATAGTTTGCCATGTTGGGAGTTATTTTATTAGACATTTCTTGTTTTGAACTATGCAGCTACCAGTGGATCATCCTTTGGCAGAGCCTGGCCCCAGAAGATGGTAATTACTTAGATCTTGTATTGTTTGTGTGCCGTTGATAGTTTGGTAGACGCGGGATGTGATCGTGTGATATAACAGCATCATTTGCATATAATCTGCATCAATCATATACTGAGTCTTATGTGCATGATTCAATGACAGTTGAGCGAGTTTCAGAATAGACTTAAAATTGATAAATCCATTCATCCTCATATGCCCAGTGCGCATGCGAAGGGTTGATGCCTTCTTCCACTTGACCGGAGCAGTGCATTATTTCATGAAGGCCGCGCACATTCCGATGTGCATTTTACATGAAGTTTATGGGTATTACTGCCACTTGCCTGCCTGTCTTTGCCTGTCTGCCCGGCACTGGTGCAAGAATCATTGCAGCAGTTCGTTTTGGCACAGAAATGGCCTTTGCCACGTATGAACGATGAGCGGAGCCACATTGTTAGAGTTAATACTGTTTGTTAATTCACTGTGTTCGTTTTCTGCACGTTGCCACACACAGTCACTTTAGTGACTCTCTGAACAAGAGCTGATTATTAGATTTTTTTTTATATATGTATAAAATGCCTAATGAACGTTTACACAAATTCCACTGTGCGTGATTTGCAAAAAAAAAATTAAACTCAAATGAAGCAACGCTCTTGTTCTGCGCGACTGATTCAGTCTGTGTCCTGAGCTTAAAAGTCAACATTTCTTTACACATTTTCTGGCTTATCTTGTCACGAGAAGCAATGTTTTACATTGGGCTAGGCGGCCAAGTAGATCCATAGCTCGTAGAACCAAATTTCGTAGAACCAAATCTAGTGGCAATAACAAGCCATGCATGGGACTGGCTTGTGGTGAACAGCCACCTGCATTCATTGGGGTTCAGACAAAGCCACGTGATGGTTTAACCGTGGTGACAACAAATGTCAACGCTTTCTGTTTAGCAACCAATATATACAGAGGTCAATTACCCAGGACAGCCTCACAGAGTCCTGACTGTTTTCAACAAGGACCTTGAGGATGTATGTTTGTTTCCCCAAATTATATTCCAATTGCGCTATCAGCTCATGTTATGAGAGGAACACACTTCCACTCAGAAGTTTTGGCGGTAGCAGCAGTGCACTGCCCTCTAACAGCCCTTGAAGATGTTGCCATAGAACTGCGATTGAGGTGACCATAGGTTGGCTTATTTATCCACACTCGGGGTACAGATCTCATTTTCCCTGCATAAAGTATTCATTGCATGTCAAACAGTTTCAAATTCTCAGACAACGAACTCCGCAAGAGTGCAAAGTCAGATTGTTTAAGTTCATTGGTGAGCAAGCTGAAACGAGTAACTCACTTAACCTGTTTGGTTCTTTCGGTAAAGTCACGTATAAAGATAAAAATAAATTAAATAATAGCATACGACGTGTTGCAACCAAAACGTCGTATGCTATTATTTAATTTATTATTTTATCTTTATACGTGACTTTACCGAAAAAAACCAAAGAATAACTGTTCTTGGTTCTTTCGGTAAAGTCACATAGAAGGGAAATAATAAAATAATTAAAATAAAACTATTAAATAATTCTCACGACGTTTCGGCCACAACGCAAGCAGCCGTCCTCAGGTGAAGAACAGGTCTGTCGGAAAGACAGCGTCTGAATGGGCACCACCAGGCTTAGCAGCGTATATTTAAGCTTGGTGACTTTACCGAAAGAACTAAGAAGATGAATCCCTACAGTCACAAAAGCTTTAAATCGAAATTTCACTTAACCTGGTGTAATCATGGGCGTCTCGAGACACGACCCCGAGTTCGAAGCAAAGCTCTCGGCCAGTGCTGGGTCAGTGGTAGGACCACTTTACAAACTCGCTCTTGAGCTTTTGACTTTCAACAAACACAAAGCGCGCGCTTGCGGACTCGTTTCACAACACTGCACACACCAACCACAGACAGCAAATGTGGGCAATTTTTCCCAGTGGAATGTTTTATTGTACATCTGTATTTTTTTTTCCTCTTCTAAATTTTACAGTACAGCTTTGACAAAAAAAAACACCTGTTCCCAGAAAGATATTAGAAAAAGAACATTAAATCCAGCTTCCCCTGTACAAATGATTAGGTAAAACGATGGACGTAAACACGAGTAGGCATACATCTCTAAGAATGGGTTTTACGTGATATCCGCAAGTCTATTCATTAATTCACCAAATGACCACCATTGATGCATGTGCTCCATTAACGCTAGTGTCAGCAGCCAAATTTGTAAATAATAAAAACCCCTCCGTGATTATAAAACTGCACCCTGCGATACAATACCCCTGTTAACAAAGCGTCAATATAATACACGGTTAAAATCACATCTTGTTATGTACATCAGAAAAAACGTTAATGCGTGGTGGAGAGCTTGAAATAAGCGAGTGGAACGACCGATGCAACCCACAGGTCTTTAGTTACACAGGTTAGCGACTCTACTCACGACAAAATAAAATCTTGGGTGTAAAAATGCAAAGCAGGCCGTTTTGGTACTACCCCAATACACCGAATTACATCTGGGAAAGCTCTTCATCAGGCAGGGTTAATTCATTTTACAACTTTCTAATTCCAGTACAAAATCCGTTCAAACATCCCTCGACCTGCAAAAACGTAACGTGACAAATTCGTTTGTTTTGTTTAAGCAACAAGTGTACATCATTTTGGCTCTTTCAAAAATATTGCTCTCCTCGTCCGTGGACAGGCAAACTTGTCGAAGGCACTTGTCAAAAGCAGGACAAAACAAGACCAGAGACAAGACTCTACACGACCACCTCTCCTGCCGCTCCATCCACTGCCCCCCCCCTCCCCCCGCTTCACATACTTTTCCCTTGTCCTCCTGCCACATGATTCCCCTTGCACTGAATGGGAACTAAAACGGTGCTTTAAAAACGTGGGGCATTATCTTGATGTCTCGCTTAACCGCCCTTTTACCAAAGCTCGTAGCAAACAAACAGACGACGATCGCATTACTCAAGCCCTTGGTGATTTAAAAATGCCTCTCGTCTCATCGGGTAGACTCGATGATCGGGTATTCCCGACACTCGCTACCGAACTCGCGTTGATTTAACGATGGCTCAACAGGCATTCGTTACTGAACTTGGAATGAGAAACTTGCGTCTGAAAACACATGCGCCACACTCCTTCAAGATGTCCCGAGCCATGAGATTGAGTCGATATGCACCGTATTGTAACGTTTACAAGGCCTGTCCACTCTTGTCACATAATTCGATTGTTTTCCTATTTATACTGACAGTACATTCATCCACATTGCTGTGACCACAACAATTGAGCTATTTATTTTTGCATTATAGTCCCCAATTTCATTATATTAGGAATGTCGCTCAACTTGCAGGGCAGAACAAGTCATCCAATCCCACAGGGCGTGACAAGACCATGGCCAAGTTTTGCAGAACTCCGGTGGAGAATCGATTACTCTATTTGTTAAAAAAACATCCATCACGACGGGCACCAGTGAAACCCAAACAGCCTCGCCCCAACCGTGCTCCCCCCAAACAAACCGAAGCTCGGCCACGGCTTCATTTCTCACCGAATATTTTCCAGGTCACTGGGAAGCAGCACGTGTTACGGACTTGGTAACCGGAGCCATACAGGGCACCGCCATCCTAGCGCGTGGCAGGCATGGGGGATTTATTTTTTTTGCGGAACCACGATTGATATGAGAATGTCCGCCGTGCATGCAGCTGCGCTCCTTGCACGGTTACGCAGTAGATCCGAAGTACCGTAAGAAGAAGACGACGATAAGACGTAGCAGGGCTCAGCTGCCCCCCCCCCCCCCCCCCCCAGATTTTTATACCCAACGTACACCGGGACCTCCCGAGCCACCCGTCATATCTGGTGCTCCGCCCGTCTCAACCTCCCCCCCCCCCCCCCCTCGTGTTTATATCTCAAGTCGATCGCGTGCAGCTTGCCGCAAGGGACCGGTGCCGCACGCACCACATCGGCGGCGCGTTGGGAGCTCGGCTCGGACCGGGCGCCTCCGTGCCGAGTACCAACGGCCCCCCCCCCACCCCCCACAAACACCCAAACCCATCAAACCGACTCAAAGACGGACGCGGCCCAACGAATATGCCTTGTAGATGCGTGCCCTGACTGCACGTCGCAAGCAATGCCGATCCGATTCAGTGATGTCGGCGGAGTGCCGTAGTGAATGGCAAGCCCGACCGTTACTTTTGATCGGCTTTGAAAAACTTCGATCAGACAAACCGAGGGGAACGCAGCAGTTTTAGGGCAGGCGACGACAAGAGATATTCGTGTCCTGGGCCAAACGTTGCGTGTATGTTTTAGTTTTTGCTGTTAATGCAAACTTTATATACACGATGATGCCCTCGAGAGGAGAAATTATCACAGTAAGAAACAATTGATGTTAATTATTTTGCTTGCCAGAATATATAAAGTTTTAAAAAATAAACACGCAACAACAACGAAACTACTATACAGTATCAGTAATGTCTTAACCGCTGCTATTTATACTAATCTTCGCTTTAATTGTGCTCACAGTGAGTGTGACCGTTACCCTCCACCACAGGCCTGGCCTTTTTTTATTTACTTATTTTTTTTGCAGACGCTTAGAATCCCACAGTTCATCGTGTGCTGCTGCCTTAAACATTTTATACATCCAATCCGCGTGAACGCGCACAGGCACGCGCAAGCACACATACACTGGGGGGCTCCACTTAAAGCGGACCTCGGGGACACTCCGGCAGACCGGGGACCAGCTGACGAACCTTGCTGGTTGATTTCGACAACGAAAGATCAGTGGGGGTACACAGAGGCATTTTTTCCCCCTTCGTTTTGCTTTACGGCAGACGTAGCCAGCAACAGTTGGCTGCGCGACGTGTTATTGTATAAGGGGGTTGGAAAAAAATCATCAGTTGCCCAAATATGGTGACAATACCTGATCACTGCTCCCCTCAAGTAGGCAATTTGGAAGTTCAAATTTTAATAAGGTTATGGAAAGAGAGAAAAAAAAAACTCAAAACATTGGTCATTAGCACTGTGGCCCTTTGGCCTTGAAAGGAAAAAACATATATATAAAATGTGTGATGTTTCGGGCAGTCGCCCTTCTTCATAGCTCATAAAACAGGACATTTTAACTTTCACAAAGGCAATTAACAAATATAGCACAATTTAAGTTACTACGAAGAAGGGCCATTGGCCAAAAGACCACCTTAAATATACATTTCATTTTAAGGCAGTGTTATTGACGAAGGTGTTGAGTTTTTTTTTTATTGTGCTCGTGCGCCGCTGATAATGCAGCAGCAGCATCACCAAATCATTTGTCTTAAGATTACAGAACGAGGTTACACGACTACCAAAACTAAAGCACGTGCTCACATCAGTAGACCACCCATTTTTTTTTCTCATCACAAACACACTTTTTCAACAAACTCCGTTTTTTCACTGCCTCGACAAAACTCTTATCGACTCTACGCCAAAGCCGTACCGAGTTGCCAGACTTTCCCGCGGTGGACCGCGTTTCCGGTCAAGATCGCCCCAAGTGTACCGAGCCGTACAGACAGAAGAAACCAGGCGACAGAAGAGCGTGGCGACAGGAGTGTTCACGCAGGAACGTCGTTCGCTAGCGAGCTCCCTTCTTCATCGGCGTGCCGGGAGTGGGAGGGAATGTCTGCCGTTCTCCTCGCTCCTGACATCCGACCCCCCCACTCCACCCAGTGTCCGTCGCCCGAGCTGCGTCCAATCATCACTCTATAATAATATATAACATATATATCTTAAAAAAAAAACCGTTGTTGAACAGCAACGGCTGATATGGAAGCAAACAGTATTATTGCTATTGCGACTTTTCCTCACACAGGCACCGACACCAGAATAAAAAACATAAATGACCGACGAACTTCTGGGGGGGGGGGGGGTAGTGGCAGGGGGAAAGCAAGGGGGAGGGAGGAGGTGTGGTTTAGGCACGTGTGTTCCCCTCGACGCATCCGGGCGCTAGCGTCGCACGACCAACTCCACCGGGTTCTCCAGGCCCTTGAGCAGCGCAACGGCCCTCTCGTGCGCCACGTCCGCAAAGTTGTAGCCGTTGGCCTGGCGAGCGCACCATGTGACGAAGCAACACACGCAACGCACACACAGACAAAAGACGGACACCCTTATTAGTTTTACGAAGTGTATAGTACACCAGTGATGATTCACGCCCTTCACCACACCGACCCCCTTTCCCCCAGCAGTTCAGTGGTTTGCACATAACATGAACAATATATTCTTACACACAGTTTGATGCGTTTAATTGTGAGCGTATGAATTAAACATTTTAGATCACATAATCAAGGCATTATTATGACAAGCCCGACATTCAGCCTTTTAGACTGCACTGTCAGGTAGGTGGACAAATGTGAAAGCAACGTCCAATCAGATCACACACGGGTCACATGACTATCAGAGGTTGTGCGAATTCCGTAGACCAATCACCGTTTATTATCAAACACTTCAAAAGTTTGTTTTCATTGGCGAAGGAGGTCAGGGGTTTCTCCGTTGATGACCTGTGGAGCCAGATTTGGCTCCGCGAAGGCTTTTGGAGTGGCCCGTCGAGCAATGGGTCGGCGAGTCACAGAGAGAGGTTCAGATTAATGAGATGAAAGAAGAGTTTAACGAGACAAGGAGAGACTTGGGACACAAGCGATATGGATTCGTGGTCACACGTACGGACGTAACGCGACGTCACCCAACGTCCGTCCACGTGACGCACAACATCGCGCGGCGCACCAGACAGCGCTCATTTGATTACAATTGCACATTCAGGTGGACAAGCCAGATAACCACAGAGGAGCGCGTCGGGTGGTGGCGGGTTTAACGACACATTAATATATTTCGATTTGAAGCTTTTGTGACTGCAGGGATTCATCTTCTTGGTTCTTTCAGTAAAGTCACGTAGAAGGTAAGTAATAAAAAAAAACATTATTTTATTATTATATATTTTTATGTTTTACTTTATTATTTTATTATTTCCATTCTACGTGACTTTACCGAAAGAACCAAGAACATTAATATATATTTACATGACCTAACCCAAAAAAACTTGTATTATGAATGATATTGGTTGAGAAAGCCTACGTGTTAAACTGACTAACGTCTTTGGGGAGGGTACTTTTCTTCACGCCAGAAAATTGTAGGAACTCCAAATTAAGCAAATTAAGCCGTTGTCTTCACTGGCGTTCCACAAAAGATGCGGAGATTGCGTCACCACATCTCCCCCTCTATTTAAGGAGGATTTCTCCACAGATCTGGCTGTTGCCTGATGAAGCCAGTTGTATTTACTCGCGAAACATCGTACTCAGATTGTAAATGTTGTGGCTTTGCTCTCACCGGTGTGCTGTACTAGTAATGAATTGGCCACGTTCTGTTTACGTGACAAACCTTACCAATTGGCCGTGTCGGCTGGTGGCGGGTTTAACGTCAGATTTATATTTTTACGCGACGTAACCCAATAAACCTGCATTGTGCATCGCTCCGATGAAAATGTTTTCGTCTAAGCAGCCTGCTCGATGCCGACGGACGTGTCGACTTGCTGCACAATCTCACCTTCACGATCCTGTCCCCTGGGCGAAGCAGGAAGGCGGCAGGGCCGTCCGGCTGCACTCGCGTCACGAATATGCCCTGGACAAAGGTCGCGGGAGGTGACACCGAAAGGACAATCAGCCTGTTGCCACCACCCCAGCATCAGGCGCCATCATCAAAACCATTGTTGTGGCCATCACCACCAAGGACAAAGAAAAAGACCCACCCGGATGGCCCATTAACAGACTGTTGGGGCAAGTGCTGTTAGTTAGCGGGCAACCTATAAAGGCCGGCACGGCACACGAAAGCGGTGGGTGGCCAGCACCGCAACCTTTGTCTCCCGAGTGGCAATGTTTACAAACCACCCCCAGCTGCTCATTTGAGGCCGAGTTGACCTAGGGGAGGTCCCGGACCAGTTCAGATAATCGTCACTGGTGTTGGCCATGAGCGGGAATTGAACTCGGGTCCCCGTATTCGTAGCGCAGCGCGCTAACCGCTCCACTACGCTCCTAACCATCATCACCACCAACATCCCCAACAATAACAAGCGCCATTCGCCACTACGTGGCTGTGACGTCACCACGGCGCTTGTGCCAGGCTATGTACACGTTGAGGCCACGTGAAGTGTTGAACGCACGCTGGCAGGAGGTCACGGGGCAGACCCAGGTGCCATGGGTCGACTGACTGAGATGACTGGCCGATGCACCATTTGTGCCCCCTACTGTGCCAACCACCACTACTGTAAACACAACAATCACTTTCATCATCCCCGCCATCGTCATAACCTTTATAGGTGGTATTATTTACGGGTGAGAACATGAGTGTGTATGTATGTTGAACTTCTTTCACATCGTACGTAGCCAACCGTGCTAACCGGAGGTCCAGGGGAAGGAGACAACACAAACATCAGTTCTATAAACATGAGTATGTCAATCTAGGTGGTTTAAAAGTTCATAGCTCCCAGTGGGGCTTCCTCATATCGGAAGGAAGAGAGCTTTCCAGACGGCCGAAGAAGCGCATCCGAAAGCGCGCGATTTAGTGACCGTCTTTTCTCGATGGTTAGCCAAAAGCTGCTGCGAGGATGATCGGTCTATGCATGATGGTTTATGCTCCTTAACGAGATCAGCAAGGTATCGTGGTTCATTTGCGGCAAGCGACCTTAGCCCGGATTCAAACCCATGCCCTCATTGTTGCCGGCTCAGCGCTATTTGACCCCTAACGCCACTCCTAATCGTTTGCTTTTGTAAACAAGGGCTCCATTATAACAGAGACTTTTCTCAGCAACGGGCTCTCATTCGGCTATGAAGTGAGTTTGCATTGTGTTTCATCACCACTATCACCACCCACTGTCAAGTTTTTAGATTGAGTGGGGCGATACTTGTGTTCAGAGAAAGTTTTGCTAGATTACACGCTGGCACCCGCGTGCCTACTAGTAAAGACCCCAACTAATACGGCGGGTGTTGAAATTCATTAGAAAAAATATTTTTCGATTTAAAGCTTTCGTGACTGCAGGGATTCATATTCTTGGTTCTTTCGGTAAAGTCACGTAGAAGGGAAATAATAAAATAACAAAAATAAAACGTAATAAAATGAAATTCTCACGAAGTTTCGGCCACAACGCAAGCAGCCGTCCTCAGGTGAAGAAACAAAGCTGTCGGAAAGACAGCGTCCTAATGAACACTGCTAAGCTTGGCAGCGTATTTTAAGCTGGGTGGGAGGAGGAGAGAGCCTTGACAAAGGAGTTTACATATCAACTCCAAGAACAGAAAAAATATTATTTAGTTTGCACACTTTTTACAACTTTTCCGCTTATCTTTCACAGGTTTCTCCCCCCCCCCCCCCCCCCCCACCAGTGGGCAACTCGTAGGGATGTTTCTAGAGGGCGGAGCGTACCATGTTGGAAGGGCTGAAGGGGCCAGACTGCCCTCCGACGCCCCCAGAGATGCTGAATCCCAGGCCCGGGTTCTTCTCAATGAGCACCACCACCTGCAGCGACATTCGTTCATTTATTCAAAGGAGAAATAACTAAAACGTGATGACTCCATAAAAAAAAATAGACTAAAGGCCAAAGCAGGTTGTATAATTTGTATGGTTTTTTTTTCATCAATGCGGCCGATTTCACGAGCGCAAGCCCCCTAACAGCAATGCAGCTTTACACTACAACTTCATTTACAACGCATCGTCTTCGTGAGTTACCGTGCGCCTCCGTTACAGACGGATAGACAAGACAGAGCTGGTGCATAAAATGCTTCGGCGCCCGAGTTTAAAACGCGGTTTTAAACGACGAACGTTGAACGAACGTCAAACGAACGTTGAACGACGACGTCAAACGAACGTTGAACGACGACGTCAAACGAACGTTGAACGACGACGTCAAACGAACGTTGAACGACGACGTCAAACGAACGTTGAACGACGACGTCAAACGAACGTTGAACGACGACGTTGAACGAACGTCAAAACAACGGCGGCGACGGCGAAGTCTAAAGTGGAGGTGTGCGAGCCGAGTGGAAATGCCGCCGTGCCTCCTCCGCGTATCCCTCTGGTCGCCGCGCCACCACCTGCTCCGCGTGGTAGCCGTTGGAGTGGGGGTTGCTGGGAACCCTGTGCAGCACCTGCAGGCCTTGCGTCTGCAGCGGTCACAGCGGGTGGGCGGGGGCCGGGGGGGACAACAGAATCATCAGAATATTTATCCTGAAGAAATCCAATGAGCTATCAAGCTCTTTTTTCACACATCGCCCCCCATGTAGGGGGGTGGGTCAGAAAATTACAAGAACACAATAGGAAGACAACGATAGGAGTTGCAAAGTGTAGGGAAGTGGTAAGAAAATCACAACAAAATAAGGTAAGCAAAGCACACTTGCTTGAGACGTCATCAGCCTCTTGGGGTGAGCGAGTGGGCGAGCGAGTGGGCGAGCGAGTGGGCGAGCAAATGGGTAGGTGCGTTAGTTCACGTTGTGAGTTTATTCTTGTTTAAACCAGCTGAGAACTCAAGAGACTAGGGTTAGTCTCATGTATAAGAGTAATCTGGGTCTCCAAAATGATAAAGGCAAATAAAAATTGAAGCAAAAACTATTGAAATCGAAAGCACCGCACAAACATAAATCGATGTTAAATAATAAATTCCCTGTCGCGCAATCAGCTCAGGCACACTATATCTCGAGTGATCATAGTACAATTACAAATTAAGTTACAGTCAGCATATGAGGGAGCGAGGAAGCGTGTGTGTGTGTGCACAAACGAGCGAGCGAGTGTGGAGAGTGTGAGCGAGTGTGCAAAGAACAGCGTGAGAATGTGAGTGAGCATGCAAGTGTGCGAGCAGGTGAATGAGCGCACGCGAGTGTGTGAACAAGCCAGCGAGTGTTGGAGTGAGCGAGTGTTGGAGTGAGCGAGTGTTGGAGTGAGCGAGTGTTGGAGTGAGCGAGTGTTGGAGTGAGCGAGTGTTGGATCCAGCGAGTGTTGGAGCCAGCGGTCGTTGGAACAAGCGTACGTACCGGCGTGCGCATGGTCTGCCTCTGCACCAGGAAGTCGATGAGCTCCTCGCGGGACGGGTGGCGAACCATCTGAGAGGACGACGGGCCTCGGTAGGGCGCCCCGTTGGGTAGGGAGAGCTGCACCACCGGCACAAGCCGGGCAACGGGCGAGGGCGAGACAGAGAGAACAGATTTTCCTATGCCCAACTGGCGGCGCCGTGTGCCACTTTGCGTTGTGTCGCGCCGTGGTATGGCACGGTGTGGTGTGGCGCGGTGTGGTGGGGCACGGCGTGGTACGGTGTGGTGTGGCATGGCGTGGTGGGGCACGGCGTGGCACGGTGTGGCGTGGTGTGGTGGTGGAACCGTCACGCCGTGGCACGGCTTGACGCGTGGATTGTGACGCGACGCCGACGTGCTGTGACGTACGCTACAAAAAGTTCAACAAGCATACACACCACGCTCTGCCACCCAACTCTAAGTTCAACATACATACACAAACATTTATGTGTATGTATGTTAAACTTCTTTCGCACCATATATAGCCAACCATGCTGGTCGGAGGTGCGCGGGGAGGGGGGACAAACAAACGAAAAAAAGTACTCAAAGAAATGAGTTTGTGAATCTAGATGATTTAAGAGTGCATAGCTCGCCATTGGCTTCTGAATATCGGAAGCAAGAGTGTTCCAGACGGCCGCAGAAGCGCGTCTGAAAGCGCGCGATGCGGTGGCCGTCTTTGTGGGTTGCCGTGATGTGGCACAACGACATGGTGTGGTGCGCCGCACCGGTTTGAGCGTCTCCGGCGGGACGTCCTTGCGGCTCAGGGTCCCGGTGACCCCGGTGACCCCGGTGACCCCGGCACCGTACGAGTCTTCGCATCCTCCCACAGGGCCACCGAGCAGCGGCTGGGACGGGAACTGCACGCGACCGACGAGACATTCTGGGTTACAAGCCCGACATCCTGGACGAACTTCGCCATGACGGTCAGCGCGAGTTGGCGAAGGCAGAAGGGTTCAGGAACAGTTCAGATGTCGCTCACTCACCACCGATATTGGACGTGGTTGGGAATCGAAATTATAGTGCCTGGGTTGGGAGCGCACACTTGGCTGACCAATGCGCCGGCCATTCAACCGCTTCCACACGAATGGAAAAAATCCAATTCCTTTGAGCCAATTTATGTGGTTGGCCATTCCACCCAAACTACGGACTGTAGAGTCAACCAATGTGGTCTGCGCGCCTTCAGCGGAGGAAGAGCAAAACTACACTCTCTCTGTCTCTCCTGAAGCCCTCTCGTGGCTAGCAGCCCTCAACATCGACACCCCTGAACAAATTACAATACGTAAGAAAATAATTTGGATGGTTGGCCCCTAAGAGAGTGCAGCTTCAACTTTCTAATAACACGCCTAAGCCTAGACAAATCTCTATGCGATCCACCGACCCTTGCCTCGACCAGAGCGGGCCCACAGCTTTGTGCCACCGCCACGGCCACCGCACTCACCCGGTTGTAGTCGCGTGCGGCTTGTCGCGCTCCGTAGGCCGGTCCGTCCACCGTCATGTGACCTCCGCCACTGGGGTGGCCCATCGTGGCCCAGTTGGCCGCCCCTCCGCCACCACCTCCACCGCCGCCCGCGCCGTCGCCGCGGCCAACCGTACCCCACCCGCGAGGGGGGCCGCCACCGCTTGGGTCGAAGGGGCTGCCTGGCATCCCCGGAGAACCCTGGAGGAGCGCAGCAGAGAAGAAACAGCGGCATCAGGGCGGGGAACGGACGATGTGAAGGACGAGCGGCAGTTGGTGGCGCTAGGCACGAGCAAACCACGTGGACGTTCAGGTCACCCAAGCAGCTCAAGGGGCCCTGGATTCACCAATAATAATAATAATAGGGGTGGCACCAAATATCAGCTCAAACCCAGATCCTTTTATAAATATATATAAACGTTAAGATTCATTAACTTGATTACATCAAATTGTCCAGAACGTAACGTTTGTCGTCGGGTGGCAACGCACGCAAACAACAATTTTGGCGTAGGGCCTCCTCCGATTGGCTGGCAGCATCGCCGACGGGCGGGTCGCGTCGCGGATGGCGCAGATGCGCTCGTAAAGGTACTCGCATAACGCGCATGGTACTTTTGGATCGAGTTAATAACGAACGGTGGATCATCATCGTCATCAGCAGCATATCCAATGTCATTATTACAGTGGCACGTACGATTATTCTCCATAATTGGACATTTTTGAGCCATTACTTTCCACCCTGGGACAAGCTCAAATCATTGCTAATCCAATTCCACGGAATGTCCATCGCGCAAATGTGAAGAGCAGTGCTTTGCAAATTATACTGAAACACTCCGTGCCCTTTTGAAGCACTACATTGCTTACTTGCCTGATGAATTTACAGCTTTATTCAGCGACAACTTCGAAAAAAACCACAGCCACGTCACGTGGCGGTAGGTGAGCAGCGACTGACAGCGAATTACAAACACGGCCGCCATTCGCCACAAAGTGACGGTGGCGTCACCGCAGCGCTTGTACCAGGCTACGTGCCGCGTCGAGGCCGTCACGTGAAGTGTCGAAGTCTCTCTGCTGCTGGCAGGAGGTCACGAGACAGACCCAGGTGTTAGGGGTTAACTGACTAGAGTCGACTGGCAGATTAACCACCCGTTTGCTTCCCCACTTTTCCAGCGGGGGAGCACACAGACCAGACAAAGATCCCCCATATAGCCATAGCAGACTGCTGGGACAAGTGCTGTTAGCGAGCGCCTCTGAAGACTGGCACGGCACACGAGGGGGTGGGTGGCCAGCACCACGCCCGAGTACACAGAGACAGAGACACGTGAACTCAGAGCCAGATGAGAGCCCTTTGGGACATACATCTCTTCAAGCAGAGACACGGGACTATTTCATGGTGTTACTGGATGATACCATTTTGCAGTATTCCTTTAAAAATATTAACATTTATATATTTCATATATATATATCTAGGTCAAGGTAACCACAACAATCGCCCTGCTTCGTTATTCTGGTGTGGTCGTGACGAACGGGAGGGGGAGAGAGCCATGAGAGGGAGGGCTGTGGCTGGCATGTGCTCTTGGCGGTGAGTGGGGTGAAGCATGGCTGACAGTGTGATCGATGGAGGCTGGCGGTACACTGATGGGTGTTGCGTGCGTTTGTGTGCGCGTGTGTGGGGGGAGCGATGGTGTAGCGGTTAGCGCGCTGCACTACGAAACCGGCGACCCGAGTTCGATTCCCGCTCACGGCTAAAACCAGTGACAATTAGCCGAACCGGTCCTGGCCCACCTGTATGTTGACTCAGCCGCAAATGAGTACCTGGTGCAGTGTGTAAACATCGCTATGAGGGAGATAAATTCGGCCGGCATGGTGCTTTCCACCCATCCCCTCATGTGGCGTGCTGGCCTTCATAGGTGCTCGCTAACAGCACTTGCCCCAACAGTCTGTTAAGGCTATATGGGGGATATTTGGCTCTGTGGAATTAACCCATGGCACCGGGTCTGTCCCATGACCTCCTGACAGCAAGACCGCCACACTTAACGTGATGGCCTCAAAGTGCACTTCGCGTGGCACATGCGCCGTGGTGACGTCATCGCCACTTAGTGGCGATTGGCGGTTGTTGTTGTAGTTGTCTGTGCATGTGTGTGCTTGTACACGTGTGTGTGTGGCGGGGGGAACGGTGGCTCGATTCTCGGTCATGGCTAACATTCAGTGCCAAGCCATGAATGTGGCACCTGATGCGGAATGTCAACATCTCGCAATGGGGAGACAAAGGCGGTTGTGAATGTGGTGCTGGCCGTACCGACGCTTTGAATGCCGTAGGTCATTAATAGGTGCTCGCTGACAAGACAGCACTTGCCCCAACAACATTTTTACTTTCAACTCGCATTTGCTTTGTAAGCCAGGTCTCCCCTGCAAGAGAGATGCACCCTCAACTGGCTCTCACCCCTATTGGACCATCTGTGAAAAAGAGCTACATCGCTCATCGGATTCCTCCAGTATGAAGAATAAATATTCTAATTCGGAGTCGACAAACAAACGATTGAACCGCCGCACCTCGTGCGTGCGCACGCGACGGGGCACTAGGTGGCGGTCGATGCAAGCGAGGGAGGGCGTGTGTGTGTGTGCGTGTTCCAGCGTGCAAACACACAGCTGGAAACACAGCGCCAACCCCCCACTCGCATTCAAGTGCTTGCCACAAATGAATCGCAAAACCTCGCTGACCTCGTCGAGGAGCACATAAACCATCATCACGCGAACTCCGGTCATCCGCACAGCAGCGGCTTTTGGCTCACCATCGAACAAGGACGGTCACCGCATCGCGCGGCGCTTTCAGGTGCGCTTCTGCGGCCGTCTGGAACGCTCTTCCTTCCGATATTAGGAAGCCACTGGAGCTATGCGCTTTTAAATCATCAACTCATTTCTTCAGAACTGCTTCTTGTGTTTAGTTTGTTGTCCTTCCCCCGCACCTCCTCTTAGCACAGTTTGCTACGTACAGTACGAAAGAAGTTCAACGTATGTACGTGCAACCCTCTCAACGTCTCGCGGACCGCCGCTAATTGCCATCGAGTCGCCGGGTTGACAATTGATAGGCGCGCGGGCGTCGATTCGCCGTGGCTTACCGCTAACGGTGACCTCGATAAAGTGCTTCTGTACACTGCGCCGCACCTCCGATACGCACGGTTGGTACGGTGCAAAAGAAGTTCCACGTACGAACTACCCTTGCCGTCACAGCCTTAGCCACGGCACCGAGAGCCCGACGGTCGGCGAGCGCCACAACTGCAGTCGCGTGGACGTGCTCCACTAAACTCCCAACCTAGCACAGAGTCGATTACCAAATTAGATTTTCCCATCCTCATGATGTTCCACCGGCCCCCCGGTTAAATTACAGGCTTAAGACTTGAATGATCTCTTCTGCACGTAACTGTTAGTATGAAGGGTCTTCATATTTGCACCCCATGCCAACTGCTTAAAGCCCTCTCTGCCCTGTAAAATTATACCCCATCAATCCCTACACTAATTAAATAAATCACAGCCACCCACCCCCTTTTCTCTAGATATTTAGAGGGGCACAAGCTCTTATTTGCACATCATCTTGAGATGAGATGATGTGGTCACATCTTGAGATGGGATGATGTGTTCACATGTGGACACATTATTGTCACATGTCTATGGGACCTTTTTGCCATTGTCCAATATGATGAAAAATAAGAACAGGCAATAAAACAGGTGTTAAGATGATCAAACACCAAAATAGATTCCTCTTCCAAGGCTTCAATTCTGCGTTAACCACACACACACACATTACTGCGTGGCAAAAGCATTAATTGCAAGTCCTCCGCTACGCATTAGTCTCGAACTACATCCCCCCCACATTCGCCGCCCGGTATACCGCACCGACAACGGTTCAAAAATCCCAGGGCGTCGCTTGCGCCGCTAAACCTTCCTTGCGACGCACGAGCCCGAGGCTCTCTCTGGCGCCGTAGGCAAAGAGCGCCACCCCCCCCCCACCCTCCGCCAAGTCCGCTGCCGGAGGTCGCCCGGGTTCATTGATGACGCGGCCTCTTAGGTTTCAATGAGGAACTGAAAACATTTAAAAGGTACCGAGTCGCACACGTGTACAACGGCGAGGACTCTGGGTGGGGGTGGCCACTCGCAGTGTGGGGTTTGAGACCAGTGGTGGCCCGTGGCTAAAGCTTGAGGAGGCTACAAACTCGGGTTTGAGAGTTTCAGGCGAAGTGTGCGGGTGTATTCTTCGAGAAACTGGAACGTGTTTGGTGGTGGATGATTCGTCATCGGTGTTTTTTTTCACGTAGAGACCCGTGGACTCGAACAGCGTTCCCCGTTCACTCATAAGGGACTCAAAGACTCACAAAGACCCACTGAGAAACCGGAATGCGCTCATCACCGCACTACAACAAACGCTCCAGCTTCTATGGCTTTATTTTGGTGATTTTTGAAAAGTTTTTCGGTTTGGCCATGTTTGTTTGTTGTAGTACAGAGTTAGACTGATGGCCTTAATCTAAGTTGTCTTGTGGTTGTTGTTGTTTGACTTGCATCCCACTGGGATTTTTGCACAGTGTTGGTGTACGGTGCTTTTTCTGCAATATTTAGCTGTCTTTTCTTGGATTTTCTGTTTGCACTTAGTCACTTTAAGATATTTTCTTGTTCATGTTTTTGTTTTTTTGTTTGTTGTGGTTGCACCCGATTCAAGAGCCGAATGAATGGCTCACAGGGCTATACCTAATACATGAAACTTGAAACTTATCTGTCCGATGGAGGCTCACAGTCCATGCAGCTTCCCCCAGAAAATGGATCTGTGAGAACCCAGTACTAGTGCATCATCATCATCATCCTTATCGCACACACTGCCTTCACATTACAATAATCAATTAATCCACCTGCATGCATCAGATTGATTGACGACCGGAAGGCAGTGCGCAATGATGATCCAATGGTCGAAGCGCTAATTGAGCCACTGCCACCGCATTACAAAAATCAATTAAATCAACATGCGGACGTGTCATCTGAGGCCAACTCCAACAAAGACACACACCCACACAGAGACGACACACAAGACACAAACTGTGTAGCCTTAACCGGCTGTTGGGGCAATTGCTGTTCGCGAGCAGCAGCTATGAAGGTCGCCACGGCACACGAGGGGGTTGATGGCCAGCACTATGCCCGACCGCCGTTGTCCCCCAAGCGGCGATGTATACACACCACACCAGGTACCTCATTTGAGACCAAGTCGACCGATTCAGATACTCGTCGTCGATGTTGGCCGTGAGTGGGAATCGAACTTGGGTCGCCGGGTTGGTCGCAGCGCAGGGCACTAACCGCTGCGCTACCGCCCCCCCCCCCCCCCCACATAAGACAAGATCCCCCCCCCCCCCCGTGTAGACTTAACAGACTGTTGGGACGAGAGTAAAGTTCGCGAGCACCTACGAAGGCCGCAACGGTAAAAACGAGGGGGGTTGGTGGCCAGCACCACACAAGATACACACAGGACACGCACACGTTCATACGCGTGCACCAATACCAATACCCGCCATTCGCCACTAAGTGACGGGTGACGTCACCGCGGCACCTGTGCCAGGCCAGGTGCACAAGCACACACGCGCACACACACACGCGCACGCACCTTCTCCAGCATGCGGTTCTCCACGTGCCGCAACAGCTGCTCGCGCCAGTCCGCGGGGGGCGGTGTGCGGGCCCCCGAGCCGCCAGCGGGCCCCGCCAGCAGAGAGTGCTCCGAGCGGGCACGGGCCCCGGACCCTCCGCCGGGGCCCGCCATCCCCACCATCCCCGCCGCGCGGGGGTCGACGTCCGAGGGGGCTCGCTCACGGCCGCCCACCGCGAGATGCTGGGGACCCGGGCGTGCCGACTGGGGGCGGCCACCCTGCCCATGAGCCTGGGTCGGGGGGGCGAGACGGAGAGATCGTTAGCGATGGCGACGACGGTGCCGAGTGTGCGTCGACGCTGCCATGACGCCGGGAATTGTTCCTCGGAATGCCGAGCATCGGGGACTTGGGATGAAAGGTGGCCAGACATTGGTCGTGCAATAAGCAGGTTGGCTGATCCGGCTGTGCAGAGCTTTCAGTGTTATCCCATTGTACGTGCGATGAATCTTCTCCTGGATTTGCCAGTTATGATGATGATGATAATAATGATTTCAACTGGTAACGTGCATAATATCCGTCCGCTCTCGAAGAGCCAGAACGACTCAGAGGCGCGACGAACCACAGATGAGCGGACGGGCAGCCACGCAGTAAGCCGGCACCAAATTGTCCCCAAAGCTCTGCGGTCCTCTACATATGGAGTTGCTATTTGAAGTCGCATCCTGCATGAAGCCAAACGTCCCACAAATGACATGTTGCCAAACCTTCCCCAAGCAGGACCCTGCTGACAAATGTGTCTTCAGACTCATTGACACATTATTAATCAAGCAAACAATGAACTTGAATAATCAGTGAGAACCCAGTCACTTGCTCAACACCTACAAGAATCGTGTTAACGCTCAGAGCACCGACTTGGAGAGGTTAAAACTCCTACTTTGTATGTTTCCTTAATGTACCAGTGTTTCCCTTACTCGAGTTCCTTACGGCGAACAACGGGCGCTTTTATTCTCCCCACTCTAGAAACACTGCCGTTGTTGTGTCGCCCCATTTGACGGCGAGCCTCTCTTCCCCCCCCCCCCCCCGCCATTAACTCGCACGGTCAAACCACGCGGAGAGGTACGGCCCCAACAAAATGTCGTCCCGGAAGTACGCCGCGTACTTCTGGGACGACATACGTGAGCGAGGTGGTCAGGGGGGGGGCGGTGCAAAAAGTCTGACCGGCTGGTCACCTGGTCCTGGCCTCCGCCCTGTGCCTCCACCACCCACCCTGCCACTACCCCTACCGCTACACCCCGCACCTCCGATTAGCACGAACGGTGCAAAAGAAGTTCAACACGCACACACGTACGCACACCCGCACGTTGCCAAATTTTGCGGGAGACGTCCGCCGCACGAACGCCGGCGAGCAGACGTGGCGCTGCGGTGAGCAAGGCGCATTCCTGCGTGGGACCCACATGCGGCTGCACCTCTCCTCCCGGTGCCGGCATTTCCCACGAACGCCGTGACGGCTCGAGAGGTTTTCAAGCCTTGATCTTCCGAAGCCCAAGCGAGCTCGCGTGTCCTCGGGGTGCCCCCGTGCCCACTAGCCCCCCCCTCCCCGTGCGACGTGACCGCGTCGTCCCCAAATGCCCCGTGGCATCGCCCGATTTCCTCATGGCGATAATTTAACGACATCAATTATTCACCCAGCAGGATGTGCAGGGGGTATCGTAGTGGAAGTCGAATGACTCTTTTTTTTCTCGGCTCAATAAATGGGGAAGTGAAGATTTTTAAAGGATTATGAAGCAACTGTAAGTGGGTGTCCTGTGAAATTGAATGTGTAAAACGTCGTAAAAATGATCATCATTGATATAATTATGTGATTTATTCATCCAGAAAAGCCTCACCGAGAGGCAAAATCTTTTTTTACGAGGGCACTGCATTGGGATGTTTGGCAGATTACATTTAAAGTGTCTATAGCTTGACGTTGGAGGAATCCGGAGTACCCGGAGGAAAGACCGCACACACGAGTGTTTGATTCAATTCATGGCCACTGGTCAACTCCCAACCCAAAGCCTCCACCAAACATGGCAATCCCAGGCAGTCACCCATCCAGGCACAAACCAAGCTCAACCAGAATGAAATGTTCTAATCCCTCGCGCTTAGAGCTTTAAAAGGCATAATCCCAAAAAAATAATTTTTTTACCTTGTATGCATACCCACCCACACACACACCCAAGCTGTGCGTACCGGGCTGTCAAACAAAGCTTTCTTTAAAAACCAAACGAGAAAGTAAACCACTTTCACCTTGTGTTGGAGCAGCTTGGGACACTCCACCTAAATGTGTAAATGGCTACGGCAAAGTTAGTCAGTCAATCGGCGGGTCGTGCCTGGTGGGGTAAATGTGGGAACTCCCAACTCCTGGATGTATAGCCACACTAACCCCTCGAACAAGACTGTTTTTTCTCGAGCTCCCTTGAGCGGAGGCCCTTCCGCCGGAAGTGGCGTGAGCCGACAATTGCAGGGCTGCACCTTTACCCATGTAACCCGACGAGAATCCAACGCAAAAGAGCAGACGAAAAATTCGCCCGCAATAAAAGCGACGCTAAAACCCAACTCCCCCGCACCAACCCCACCCCCGCTGTCACAATGCCGCCGGTCACTGCAGTTCGGCACCGCCAGACCCACCTGCGTGTAGAAGCCCGAGTCGAGCGTGTAACTCCGTGCCGACACGGGCCGCCCGTAGGGTGCGCCGCCGCGGCTCATGGCGGCGACGTCCCGCGGGCTCATGTAGTCGCTCTCGCTGTGTGGCATGCCTCTGGCGTAGCCCTGGTACGAGTAGCCCGTCGCCCCGGACGCGTCGCTTCCCGTCGACGTCACGCTGCCCTGCCGATCCAGGCCGCCGCCCCGCTGACGCTGCTGCTGCTGCTGCCCGTGCACGTAGCCGTAATCTGCGCAGTCCCCCGGCGGCACGTCCACGCAGCGGTAGCCAAACTGCTGCCCGCCTCCACCGCTGCCCGGCGTTCGTGGGAGCGAGGAGGCCGAGCTGTGCCGGCTCGTGAATACGAACTGCGTGTCGCCGACTGGCCTTGGCGGCTGCTGCTGCTGCTGCTGCTGTTGCGCGTAGCGATCGTGAGTGCCGTGCGCGTACTGCTGCTGCTGCTGCGCAGCCAACGCCTGGCCGCGCTGCGAGCGAGGGCTGAAGTCGCTGTCAAAGTGGTAGATCACGTGCTTGGCGGGCATGGCCGGCGGGCCGGCGCGACCGCCACGCTCCTCGTCCAGCAGCGGAGCCGAGAGGCTGCGGGGGATGCCCACGTCCGCCGCGTTCTCCGCCTCCGCCGATGCCGCCGTCCCCGCGGTCAGGGACGCCCCCCCCTGCGGCGCGGTTTCTGCCGCGTTGGCGCTGTTCGACCGGGCCAGGGCGGGTAGCGGCGCGCGCGCCGCGCTCAGATGCGAAGGCTCCCGTGAGCGCTCATACTCTGCCGTCGCGACAACGAAAGTTCCGGCTTCGCTCCGCTCCGAGGAGGGCATCGTCACCACGTTTGTCGCGGTAACCACTGCCGACGAATATTCCACGGCGGTATCCCGCCGTTCCGGCGCGGCGCCCGCGTCCGGTTGTTGCCGCTCGAAGGCTCCGAGCGGAGGGGGAACGAAGGCCGGATCGTCGGCTTCGTCGTGCCGGAGAGACTCACTCGGCCGTGGTGTGGGAACGGCCGCCTTGCTCTGTGTCAGCGCCACGCTCTCGGTTTTGGCGGAGTAGAGGACGCTGGGTTTTGCAGGCACGGCGGGCCGCCCCGAGCCGCCCGGCGTGCCGTTCACCTTCACTGCGCCGCCTATGGCTTCCGCCACCGTCGACTGAGCAGAGATCCTGGCGCCGCGAACAGAGGGCAGGGGGAGGCACAAACGGAGGATGAAGGCATTGCCGTAACGATGACGAGGCTATCGTCAAGACAACCATTAACAAAACCTGCATCGTCCGATGTGCTTTCGCGTTGTACCGTGCGTGTCATCCAACACTGTGTCGCACTTCTTGAGCACGTGGAACGAAACGTCGGACATCATACCGAGCAACGCGCTTGACAAACCAGAGCGCTGTGAGTCACATCCGCAAAGACCGACTAAACGGCGCAAACCGGAATAGTTTTTTTTCCCTCCTTATTTCTACTAACTAGAATATCACCGGCCTATAGCCGCCTTATTTTCTAGCTCCTGCCTACAAAAGACATCTGGACTCCATTGTATGTACTGTGTACAAGTCAATATGCCTAGGCTCTCATCATTTAGTTGACGGACCAACAGACAAAAAGACAGATGGACAAACGGAACGCCGGGCTTTTGTAATCGATTGAGATGCCCGTAACATGTTCTGAGACGAGACATCCGTTCAAACTTTGTTACAGGGCGGTGCATCAGAGGACTCTTCGTGCAAGCTACGTTCAACTCCACGCTCAGGGGCCACCCCGCTCCGCTCGTTGGAAATGTCCGTTGCACGGCAATCAAGCTGGAATTCATCCAAATTAAGAGCATTTAATGGGCTTTGCAAATTGCAACTGAGGTCCACTTATTAGGTGAATGTCCTTGGATTAGTGATTACAGCGAAAGTTTTTCAAGTGTTGAATGGGGTGGGGTGGGGGGCAGGGAGCGTGGGGTGGGGTGCACATGTTGAAAATATAAATGTTTTTGATTGCCAATTAAAAAACAACTATTCGGAATCTTGCTGAAGTGCTGACGTCTTGTTCATTACAAAAAAAAACGAAGAAGTCATTACAAATCTGCTGAGCTGTTAGGTTAACTGCTATCAGCTAACCAAGACAAAGATCCCCCCCTGGATAGCCATCAACACAGGGGTCCTCAACCCCCGGGCCACGGACCGGTACCGGTCCGTGGCCTGTTAGGAACCGGGCCGCACAACAGCAGGAGGTGAGAGCGGTGAGTCCGCGCGTGGCCCGCCCCCGTTATTTTATTTACCACTTCCGTCCGCGCCTCTTTCCCTCATTTGTCTAAGTCACAGTTTTGGTAAGCTAACAAGCTCTAACCCCTTGCCACAATGAGTAAAAAACAAACGTCACTGGAGAGCTTCTTTGAAAAGGGGGAAAGACCCAATGAACCACCCCCCCCCCCGGTCCGTGAAAAAATTATCTTCCACGAAACCGGTCCCTGGTGCCAAAAAGGTTGGGGACCGCTGCTTTAACAGACTGTTTGGGGCAAGTGCTGTTAGTGAGTAGCACTCATGAAGGACGGCACAGCACACGAGGGGGTGGGTGGCCAACACCACGCCCGGCCGCCTTGGTCTCCGCAGTGGTGATTTTTACACACTGCACCGGGTACTCATTTAAAGCAGAGTCGACCTTCACGTGGACACACACACAAATAGATTGACGAACAACCCTTAGGCGCCCTGCACATAAAACGACTCCACCGGCCGTGTGATGTAATAGTTCCCGGCCGCCAAAGTGAAAACGAGACCGGCCTGCAATTTCCAGACAGTCCACATTAGGCGCGTCGAAACCCAGTTAAACGCACAGTTCGCGAAACGCGATATCGTTCGTTCAACGCTGGACGTCACCGGGGTGCGGGCTTCTGCACCGCGCGTGTGCTCACGCGCGCGGATTTGCACGGCAAGAGAGCATAAAACAATGAGGAACGTGGCCACTTGTCAAAAAAATTCCATTTTTTTTTTAAACAAGGCATTACAGTCAATCGGAAAATCCTTCTCTAAATTAAACTATTTTTATTTTATCAGGTAAGGCTCACTGAGCTATATAGCTCTTTTTCAGAAGCCAAATATCCTAAACGCATGTTTCTAAATGGGGGCGGAAAAACCAGAGGACCCGGAGAAAAATCCACGTGACCATGGGAAGAACATGCCAACTCCAAATATACAGCAGGCGTCAGGGTCGAACCCACGACCTCCTGTATACCAGGCGAGGAGTTAACATCTCCTAGCCACCAAGATGATGATAAGAGAGACATGCAGACTCCAAATATACAGCAGCAGGCGTCAGGGTCGGGATCGAACCCATGACCTCCTGTATACTGGCGAGGGAGTTAACATCTCCTAGTGACCATGATGATGATGAGAGTGACATGCAGACTCCAAATATACAGCAGCAGGCGTCAGGGTCGGGATCGAACCCACGACCTCCTGCATACCAGGCGAGGTAGTTAACATCTCTTTGCCACCGCGACGAAACGCAGGGCGGGAATCGTAAGGGCGTCGACGGCGACAAACAAGATCGACCCCCGCACACCGCACGCACGCGGCAGGATTAGCAACGTCAACGCGAGTGGGGGGGGCGGTGGTGGGTGGGGGGGGTAGTGAAAATGCCTCGGCTTAAAATTTGCCAAAAATGAGCAGAGCCTCGCCACCGTTTACACTTCAAAGCATTTTAAGCAAAAATGGAAATTAAGATGGATGGTTCCTTACTTTGCACACAGAAAATTCCGAGCTGGTGATTTTGGCCCCTGATTAACTGAGCAAATCCAGGTGGAGAAACAAATGGGGAAAAAAATAACACGGCACAAGCAATTATTATAAGGCCCTCGGAACCACTCAATCCGAAACTTTGCAATGCAGGAGGAATAAGCGCTGCTGCTGCTGATGACAATGATAACGACAAAGATGATGATGACAATGATACCATTACTGTTGCGGCTGATGATGATGACCACATCACCCTCGATGCACTGGATCAAATCAGATCTGAGCAGCCAATGTGGACTAAAAACGAGCTGGGAACACAAGGGCATTGTGCAAGCCATTACTGGTAGTACAGTAATAGATTCCTAAATCTATCTGTGTGGGGGTGGTGGGGTGACGCTCACGTGCGTGCGCGTCGGGAGCTTTGAGGTGTGCGTGTCCTGCCATCGTATTTTAGGCCGAAAGTTTTACGGTCGCATGGGGCCGGCTGCACGGATCGTTTCCCTCTGCGCACTTCTCTCCTTGTGCCTCTCTCCGGCGGTCAATGCCACGGGCCTCAACGTCCCGCTTGGGACGCTGCCTTTTGAGCCGTGCAAAAAGCGAGAAAAAAATCTCGACGCAAGAATGCCGTCAGCGGTCCCCGCGTGGCCCCACCACAAGACCCACAAACGGCTGTAACCCAATCCCTGGGCTCGCACGAGCGAGCTAGCGGGCGAACGGGTGAGCGGGCGGGCGGACGGCTGGGCGGGTGAGCGCTGTCGGTCCGTCGCGGGCGACGGTGCAGAAACGGCGCCGCCACGCAACATTGCCCGCACGGCGGCCCCTTTCAGACGCGTCGCCACGGCGACCGGGCGCGGGGAGGAGGTGGTTCATGCGCCAACAATGGCCGCTCGCCAGAAAAGAAGGAGCGCGGTGGGCGATCGCGTGAGGGGGCGCCAAAGCGCAAGAGACCAGAAACAAGGTTAAGGCGCAGCCCTGCAATTGCTTCCTCGTGTCGCTGCTGGCAGAAGGGCTTCCCGCGAGAGGCAGCTCTAGAAAGCCCCTCGAGAGGGGATATTTTTGTTGGCCTCCTCCTCCACGCTGGACGGACGTCTTGGCAGCGGCGGACGTACCCACACTTTACCCCACCGCACACGACCTGCCGATCGAACTGCGGGTGGGGGGATTAGGGTTAACTGCCGTGCCGGGAGATAGCATCACCCCAGCGTGCGAGAACCATAACACCCGCGGGGGAAGCATCCCAAGAGAGGCCAACCACTTTTTGACAATAAGCAACTGAAGGTCTTTGTCGCTCCACTGCTGGATGGAGGACTCGCCAGGCTCCGTGGCGGTCTTGGGGCTTTGTCAGCGTGGATTGTGGAGGTATTGGGGGGGGCGGCACCCAGGACTGGTTCGGATTACAGTGTGCTAACCGCTCTGCCACCGCTCCACCACTTTCTCAACAGGGTGCAACAATCTATTTTAATTGTTTTGCTTGCTAATGACGCGCAGTACTTTGCTCACCGAGTTCACTTATTCGTCTCGTGGCTCGATGCCACGGGCAACGTTTGGAAAACAATTCGGGAGGATAAGGAGAAAATACTAGGGAAAATGTCAAAACTGGGTGGTTTTTAACTTTTGCCGACAAAACTGGATCCCAAATGTCAAAACTGGGTGGTCTTGGAAAACGACAGGCAAAACAGGGTGGTGCTTTTTGATATGACAAAACTGGGTGATGTTCAATGTGGACAAATGTCAAAACTGGGTGAAGAAGGTGTACGATTTAATGTATCATTTGGTACACGTTTAGGTCCTTGCGTTATTCATCCATATGTCGCCACAGATTTAGAGCGTTCCAAATGATGTTTCTCGTGGCTCATGTTCCATACCTTGCACCACAAACTTCCCGTTTGCATACTGGCACAGTGTGCCAGCTCGCTACTACAGTAACACTTACTTGCCATATGTATACTGGCACAGTGTGCCAGCTTGCAACTACAGTAACACTTTCAGCTCGCGAACATACCCTAACTTGCCATTTGTATACTGGCACAGTGTGCCAGCTCGCTTACTTGCCGTTTGTATACTGGCACAGTGTGCCAGCTCGCTACTACAGTAACACTTACTTGCCATATGTATACTGGCACAGTGTGCAAGCTTGCAACTACAGTAACACTTACAGCTCGCGAACAACTACAGTAACACTTTCAGCTCGCGAACATACACGTACTTGCCATTTGTATACTGGCACAGTGTGCCAGCTCGCTTACTTGCCGTTTGTATACTGGCACAGTGTGCCAGCTCGCTACTACAGTAACACTTACTTGCCATATGTATACTGGCACAGTGTGCCAGCTTGCAACTACAGTAACACTTACAGCGCGCGAACATACCCTAACTTGCCATTTGTATACTGGCACAGTGTGCCAGCTCGCTTACTTGCCGTTTGTATACTGGCACAGTGTGCCAGCTCGCTTACTTGCCGTTTGTATACTGGCACAGTGTGCCAGCTCGCTACTACAGTAACACTTACTTGCCATATGTATACTGGCACAGTGTGCCAGCTTGCAACTACAGTAACACTTACAGCTCGCGAACATACCCTAACTTGCCATTTGTATACTGGCACAGTGTGCCAGCTCGCTTACTTGCCGTTTGTATACTGGCACAGTGTGCCAGCTCGCTACTACAGTAACACTTACTTGCCATATGTATACTGGCACAGTGTGCCAGTATACAAATACCAAGTGTTTGGATGAATGGGGTGCTGGCACACTGTGCTAGTATACAATTATCAAGTGTATTTGACAAATGTCAAAACTGGGTGCACCCAGTTTTGACATTTGGGATCCAGTTTTGTCGGCAAAAGTTAAAAACCACCCAGTTTTGACATTTTCCCAGAAAATAACCTCACCATCTTCGTCATTAACACCGCCTGTAACAGAACTCTCATCAGCCACGGTCAATCCACTGCTGAATGAAGGCCTCCCCCCACATCACTGCCAGCCCTGAAATTCCCATGATTCCGCCATCAACCTTGCTCCTGAACGTGTACCGATCTCATAGCTCCATCTCCACGATGGGCGGCCCTCGGCCATCCTACTTTTGTCTGATTTGAGCGCGTTCCCCCGATTCGTGTGCCCCTCTCTCGCGTCCGTCTCCCAGTAAAATTCCCAGCGTGCATCTCTCCACGCCGTTTTGTTTACGCAACTCACGGCTTTTATTCCATTTCCTTTGTCAGAATCATCGTTTCTCGTCCGTGCGATTTAGCTCCGATGAGCACGGTTGGCTACGCACGATGCGAAAGAAGAAGTGCGTTATAGCCGACAGTCCCACGGTGGTTATCACACTGCAGTATGGAACCTGGCAGTCGGAGTTCAATTCCCAGACGTGGCTAATGTGCAGTGGTGAGCGATACCCGAGCCGGTCCTGGGCACCTCTCCTCCTTCATCAAGCCCCACACTGACCAGCGTGGTGAGGCATGTCAAAACTACCTGCGTGATCGAAAAAGGCACTGAGAGGCCTTCATCCAACAAGGGTGTATCTGAAGTGATAATGTTATATCTTGAATTACTGCTTTTTAACGTGGGTTGTTATTTACTACATATTTATTTGACTTATTGGTACGTATATTTGCGTTATAAGGCTATGCTAATGTCAAATGAAGGGAGCTTTTTGTTGTTGTAAAGTATGCATGTAGAATTTATTTCGAAACCGTACGAAGCCAAGCGTGCTCATCGGAGTTTGGCATGTACACCGGTGCGCCAATGTCGTTTCTTAATCGTGAGATTTTTTTTGTTTCAATTATTTTCAGAAAGATTTTTTATTTCAATTCACTTCAGGTGTCACATTTTTTTTTACCTATCGTGTTTGTTCAATCCCTTCTTCGTTCACAGTAAAATACGCAGAGAAATGCTCCGATAAAATGCACCCTGGAGAAAACCCACACGGAGGAGGGGACAACCACCAACGTTGGCAGACAAGCCCGATAACAACCGAGCCACTTGCTGTACCGCCCGACACATGTACCCGACCTTACCTCCCTGTGCAACGCATTCCTGTGAATTCCTGTGAATGTAACACCGTGACCATTCTCCCAACAATAAACTAAATAATCAACTCGGATAACATTTTAACACGACTCAAGGAAAAAGTTCTTTGGGATTGTTTCCCCCACTCTAATTTTATCCCGATTGTGCTATCGGCGGCCTGAGAACGGCCCACGAAAGTGGATATCACGGAACTACCTATGAGATTCCTTCAAGCGAGGTAATGTCACAGGCAGCATAGTCCGTCCCGTGGCAATCAAATCCGATATTGAATTCACAGAGCTGGAATTTAGCCAAGTTTCGTTTCTGAAACCAAATTTTACACGATGTGTTTTTTTTTTTGCCTGCAGTTGTTGGTGCCTGGGCTTGAGACCAACAACTCACTCAGAGGTCACTCGGCTTGGATTCAAACCCAGGATCTTAGCAGTGCTGGTTCAGTGCTCTAAACTCCGAGTCACCTGGCCATCTCCCTCTCATGCATCACGTTAAATAACAACAACAATAAATAAACATTGGTGGTGGTTGGGGTGGTTTACCCTTTCGGAGAGCTTTTGGTTTGGTCCGGGAGACTCTCTTGGGCCTGGCGGTGGAAGCTACCAGGAGCGTTGCTGTCGGCGGCAGGGGGAGGCAGCAGCGGGAGGTCACGCACGAGGCTCAGGCCGTTGCTGTTGTTGCGGTTGCTGTTGTAGTCCAGGTCCAGTCCGATTGAGAGCGGCACGGCCCCCTCGGCTGAAGATGGCGGGACAAGGGGCATTGGGGAGTGGGGGAGGGGGGTGAAGCGTGGGTCAAACGACGACTCAAGCGTCCTGTCGACACAACTCCAAAGTTGCACGGGTGTGCTGCATCGAGCTGGAATGTAGACAACCTAAGCGCATCTTCTTGGTTCTTTCGGTAAAGTCACGTAGAAGGGAAGTAATAAAATAATAAAAATAAAACAAAATTATTATATTATTATATAATTATTATAATTATTATTATTATTATATTATAATATTATATTATTTTATTATGTTTTATTTTTATTATTTTATTACTTCCCTTCTACGTGACTTTACCGAAAGAACCAAGAAGATGAATCCCTGCAGTCACGAAAGCTTTAAATCGAAACCTAAGCGCAAATATAGATTTGTATCTAGGGTCTGTAGCGCAGTATGCTAACCACTCATCGAAAGAGTAGGCAACTTTATAAACACTCGCAAAATTTGGCGAGCGGACAAAAGTTTGCGTGCGTCTCAGGCGCCCGGCTCGGAGAAACTCGAGAGCTCGCCAGAACAGGTGGACCTGTATTCAGACAGCTACGCGGACAATCACCTGCAGCGCATTCGGGTGCACCTGCATTCAGGTGCTTCTGTAAGGTGGAGTGTGAATCAATGCTGCGTATTTGAAGGGGGGGATTGATTCCAGATGGCGGTGGAGAACCGACGGCCGGCGGGGAATGTCCTTGATCGGGGGATGACGAGTCAGTTTTAGGTGGGAGCTCCCTGTGGAGCTCCGACCACTGATGGGGATGGCGCACGACACGACTGGCACAAGGGAGAAGGGATGACCGACAGTCGGCATTCACGTGGGCACCTCTCTTCACGGGCTGCGACAAGGCGGAGAGTTGTGGCGACCGAGCGACCGATTGCTGTGGCTCCGAGAGGAAGGGCTTCCTCTCTTCCTCCTCCTTGCGCTGCTCCTCCACCTCGCTGTCCTCTTCGCTCTCCTGCGGAGGACACAGGCGGACACAGGCGGACACAGGCGGTCACAGGCGGACACAGGCGGGCACAGGCGGGCGTGTTAGTGAAAGCGGGGCTCTGACTGCAGCCGGCGACGGTGTTGCAAAGCGAGGGGCTCGAAAACGAATCTCCGCTCGGGTTAAAGTCTCAATATTTGCACGGTTGGCTACGTATGGTGCAAAAGAAGTTGTACATATAGGATGGGTTTCGCAGTGATTATGTCATCTTGCTCTATTTAAGACCGAAAGCAGGTGGATTGCTTGACTATTCTGGCAAATCACCCGATGATGATGTAATTACCAGCAAAACGTCGTACTCAAATGGTAAATGTTGTGGATTTATTCTCCAACACACCGGTGAGCTGAAGTAGTAAACTGGCTGTTTACGTGACAAATCTTACTGGCTGTGTCGTTGGTGGAGGGTTACGACACATTTATACTCACGCGATCTAAACCCAAAAACCTTTATTATGAACAAACATACACTCCCCACAGATATATAGACACACACGGGGGGGGGCGAGGTCAGGAACTAACATTTTCTCCCGAGGCTCAAAGCAGCTTGACCTTCTGGCAGTCTCACAGGCTGCGTTACGCGCACAGATCCACACACCTGGGTGTAGTGGTTGACGATGACGGTGGTGTTGGTGACGGTGGCGTTGTTGACGGTGGTAGTGGTGCTGCTGCTGCTGTACACGAGGCCGACCGCTCCGGTGGTCTGGATCGTTCCGTCGTCCACCGTGCTCGCTAGCCCCCCTCGGCTGGCGCCCTCCGCGAGACCCTGCGCGCGGGCGGCACCGCCAAAATCGTCATCGTCGCGTCGACAAATACTTCCGCCCGGCAGTCCCACGATGAGTTCAGTCCGGCGGCAAAACACCCGTCCGGCACGCGCGTTAGAGAACACACGCAGGTTTGAGACATCGCACCGACCGGTAAGCGGAGCCCACTTACGGCGCATCGCTACAAGTGTTGATGGCCGGCAGTCGAGACCAACAATGGAGTTACAGTCAAAGGATGGAAACCGTAGAGATGGGAGCGATTAAATCAGCTCGTGCATGGGCGCTAGATGGATTGTTACATCACAGGACCATGAGAGACGATGACAGCTCCTGCAAAGCCTTCTCCCAGCAGTGGACTACGTGAAAGATGACGATGGCGACGTTGGCGATACTCCTGATGGAAGCCTGGCCGCTTTACCTCGGCAGTCGGCTGCAATCCCGGCGTCTGGCTGGCGTCCGCAGGAGCGGACAGCGCTTCCTTGCTGGTGGCCGCCCTGGCAGCGGCAGCGGCGGCGCCGGACGCGGTGCCGGCCGTGGCGCCGTCGCTGTGGATCTTGTTGACGACGCTCTGCGCCGTCTTCACCAGGTTCTTCAGCTCCTCGGGGTACGGCGTCGGGTAACGCTTCAGGGTGCCCTCCTGCCGGCATCGCCGCCGCAGCGCCATTAGTACAAAAATAAGAGGACGCACGCGGGGCAAGGCGGCGCGAAATGTTTCTCCCGAAATTAATTCTCTTTCGTATGTATGCATGCTGAACTTCTTTCGCATCGTACATAGCCAACCGTGCTAAGTCACCACCATGAGACTCAATCGACAGTCTATGCAGTTACAGTGAACGCACGCGGCTACACAGTTTGGAGGGGAAGAGGAAAACTGTTATCTGGCCTACACAGTACGTACCGGCACATCTAATTGTCCACACAGAAAGCTGCTTCTGAGAGGATATGGTTTAAGCGGCTGGGAAAAATTTAATAATTTGGTGGGTCACCTGCGGGGTTGGACGCAACAAACGACAGAAGAGCGATCGACCCCGATAGTTTATCTATTTCCTGCACGAGTTCTACGTCAGCACTTGGCGTGTCCGTGTGGCACCTTGACAGTGTCGGGGTCCCTCTCCTCCCGTTGGTCGTCAAACTCGAAGGCGACCTGCGTCCTCTGCTGCCTCTGCTGTTCCCACAGCTCCGCGTTGAAGCTTTCGCTCTCCGACTTGTACTCCACTGCACGCGCACCAAAGACAAAGATCCCCCCCCGTACAGCCTTAACAGACTTTTCAGGCAATCGCTGATTCGCGAGCGGCGATGAAGGCCGGCACGGCACACAAGGGGGTGGTGGGTGGCCAACACCACAACCGACCGCCATTGTCTACCCAGTGGTGATGTTTACATACTGCACCAGGTACTGATTTGAGGCCGAGTCGACCTAGGTGAGGCCCTGGACCGGTTCAAATAATCGTCACTGGTGTTGGCCGTGAGCAGGATTCAAACTCGGGCCACTGGGTTCGTAGCGCAGCACGCTAATCACTACACTCCTGCTTCCCACACTGCACATGCTCCACACGCAAACACGCACAGCACACAGACACACACATTCACAAGCAACTCGTGTGCACATCCGCACGCACAAACACACGCATGCAACATGCACGCGAGCCGCTGCTCCACCATCCACCACTGCTCGACACCCACAGTCTCCTTCGCCGTGCACGAGACGTCTTGCCCTGTGAATTAAAGGGCCCATGCTTCCCACTTGGGCGGCACGGTGGCAGCGCAGTGGTCAACACTCATGGCCTCTCAACAAGAATGCCCTGGGCATGTGATTCCCGACCCGGGCGCCTGTGTGGGGTTTCCAAGTTCTTGCCCTCTTCTGCGAGTGTGACGCAACAACCGCCGGGAGCAGGTGGCGCACGGTGTGGCTGGTGGTGGCTGTGCGTGTGCTCACTGTCGGGCGCGCGAGGCTGCTGCGGGAACATGTAGTTGGTGAGGACCTTCTCTCCGCCATCAGCCGGCTCGTCCACCTGCAGCGGGATCAGCGGCTTCGACTGCAACCGACAGGGGACGGGCGCACGCGCACGCGGGAGAGCGGAAGCCACCGTTACCACGGCGACCGGCGGCCGTCGCAGTCTACTCCCAAGGGGTGGGGGGCGACGGGGCGGCTCGCCCCCCACTGTAGGGGCAAGTGCTGTTCGCGAGCACCTATGAAGGCTGGCACTGCCCATGAGGGGCATGGGTGGCCAGCACCACGTCCGGCTACATTTCTGTCCCTAGTGGCGATGTTTATACATGTTTACACATCGCCCCAGGTACTCATTCGAGTGCCGAGTCGGGCTAGGGGAGGTCCAGAACCAGTTCAGATAATCGTCACCGCTGTTGGCCGTTAGCGGGAATCGAACTCGGGTCGCCTGGTTTGTAGTGCAGCGCGCTAACCGGGCAATACACATTCGTCGATACACACTGTGGCCTTAAAAAAATAAAAAGTATATAACAGGTGATATTTCGGGCAATAGTTCTTCTCTCTTCTGCACCGTACATTTTTTTCTCTTAAAGGCAATTGCGCCTGCCACTTGTTATTTGTGCACCACTGCCAAGGCAGCAGAAAATATTTTTTGTAATTGAGAAGAAACACAAACACAGGGTGGGGGTTGGCAGCACACAAAAGGCACGGACGGGGATTCTGTGCCACAGTCTCATCTGTTATATTTCTTTACTCATTTATCCCCCAATAATCTCGCGATATCGCCCACCCGCTCACTCACTCACCCCTGCCCGTCTGTCCGACGTTTCAACTGGGTTGGATGGACAGGCCGGGATTTTTGAGAGCGTGGGGAATTAGGGCAGAAAACTAAACAGATCTGGAATATCGGCAAACGAAAACACAACGCGGACAAATCTAGACGGCACCAAAACCCTAAAAAACCCACTGCTGGCAGCAGGCGTATGAATTAATCAGAATGTGTATTTATACCGGAGGAATCCGATGAGCTATAAAGCTCTTTTATGCAAATGTCCAGTAGGGGCGTGTCAGAACGTTACAACAACAAACAGTACAAACACACGATAGTCGTGCAAAGTACAAGAAAGGTAAACAAATCACCCAAACACAAACAAGTAAAACTAAACCATCCCCATCCTACCAGGCAAAGCCTACTGAGATATTCATTTATATTTCACAAACGACCTGGCCACAAAAGGATAGCTCAACAAAATGGCTTATCATTTGGCCATTGATAGCAGCAAAATAATCTAAATAATCTGGGTCCTCAAGTGGCCCAGTCACCAATAGCTGCACACGGGATAAAAAACATTAATTTGGATCTGCACTTAATTTGGTCGTCTTAAATGCAGAGCTCTGAAAATTACATAACGCTCTGACCGTCACATCATGAACATAATGGCTCTCGTATGGCAGAGCGGATGATAAAGTGTCGCCCCCTTCATTGCGTGGACCAGAGACGTCACTCGAATGGATCTCAGAGGCAGCTCTGTGACATCTGCTTTTGTGGGGCATTCTCGAAAACGAAGTGGGGTACAGTGTGTGCTTTGCGAGAGCTCTCAATGGAATCTTCATCTCAAGACACGAAGGGTTACCATTGGGCAAAAAGTACAGCTGTTTCAGCGAGAGAATGAAATGTGCGGTAAACTGCTGGGTCGTGGTAGTTGGTGGTGGCAAACCTGGTTGTCGGAGAGCCACAGGGCCGTGAGCTCCTTCAGGCTTGTGAACGAGATCGGAAGGAACTTGAGTCTGAAACAGAAAATTGTTCGCATCAGGTGAATTGTTCGGGTCACGGGTGGAACGACTCGCCCAATCGTCAGATGAATTCTCGCAATTTGGGGGTTAAAATTCAAATTCTATCCCATTGTCATCTTCACGGTTTTTCCTGTCTTGTTAGTCGTCTTGTTTTAGTCGCACAAAGATATATTCGCGTAACATTCGCGTATAATTTGAAGGCGCTGCACGCAAAATAATTTTTTAGACAGATCATTCCGTATATTTATCACGGGAACACGGATCTATTTGTATGAACGCCTACATTAATAATTATTAATTATAATAGAAAGCTGAAAATGATGCTCTAGGGATGATGATGCATTGATGATATGTGATATTAATGATGATGACAATGCTGCTGCACCAACACAGGGCCCCCACTAGACCGGTTCCTCCTGCGAATCTACATGCCCTGTGCGTGCGCCCTTCCGTCAGAGACAGCACCGATGTCGGATAAAGCTACTTTCTCCTGGCACATTCCGGTTTCGCCACCTGCACCATGTTTCAACTCCAGTCTCGAAGCCCTCGGATAGAGTCTTGGAGCCTCCTTAAACCTGGAGCCACGAGCCAGCACTGATATTCACCTCCACACTCCAAAACGTGTCTTCCACACTGCCCCATGTTGGGGGTTTGGTGGGCGGGAAGTCAACCGTTTGGGAGCAGGGCTATGAAACCATCCTCAAGCAGCACTCTCGTTAACCTCACAGCAGCTGGGTCAAGTGACGCCAACATAAAACCAGTTTGGCCTGTCCGGGAACTGAACATGCCGTAAAATGAACCACACCCCATCATCTTTATGGTATAGATTTTAAGGGCCACATTATTTATTAGTCACAGCACGGCCTTCCTTGACACTGGGGGCTCAGCTAAGGCTTTGAGCCGCTCAGTTCCGTTCAAAAACACGCAAGCGGGCTCAGCCGTGGCTCGGCTCACGCACGGCGAGTGCAAAGTCTGAGCGTGGCCGGGATCGTGCTCAGAGCTGGTGTTGCTGACGGATGTATTGAGATTTAAAGTTAGGCGTGGCTTTGAGCAGGATCACTCGGGGCAGAGCCAAGCCTGACGAATATGTGTCTAGAACCAGTTCAGATAATCGTATTCGGTGTTGGTGGCCGTAAGCAGGAATCGAACTTGGGTCGCTGGGTTCGTCGCGCAGGGCTCTAACCACTGCGCCACCGCTCCCCCCCACACGCATGCAAACACACACGCGCACACACCGGTTGTCGCTGACGTTGAGCACTCGGAGGTGAGTCATGTCGCCCATCTCCGAGGGAAGCACCTCGAGTCTGTTGCAGCGCAGGGACAGCACCGTCACGTTCTTGCAGTTCCCGATCTGTGCCGGACAAAGACAAAAGATCCCCCACACCACCACCGTGTGTTGGATTACAAACTGTTCAAGATAATAATAATGAGAGTAAACAACATTCGGAATGCGTGCATATATCGTAAAATGGATGCAATGTTCAATCGAGAACTCGGAGGCATCGAGCCAGAGCTCAAAGTCCATTTTATGTAGCCTGAACAGGTGAGAGACTGAACAGGTGAGAGCCTGAACTTGGTGAGAGACTGAACAGGTGAGAGCCTGAACAGGTGAGAGACTGAACAGGTGAGAGACTGAACAGGTGAGAGAATGAACGAGTGAGAGACTGAATGGGTGAGAGACTGAACAGGTGAGAGAATGAACAGGAGGGGGCCTGAACAGGTGAGAGCCTGAACAGGTGAGAGACTGAACAAGTGAGAGACTGAAGTGACCTGGCCGTCAATGATAGCTCAACTAAGTGGTTTATTGTGTGGAAATTTATAGCAACCAAATGATCGAAACGAATGTTTATAAATGTGGAGGAAAAAACCGGAGGACCTGGAGAAAAATCCACGTGACCACCGGGAGAGACATGCAAATTCCAAATATAGAAGCATCAGGGGCGGGATCGAACCTCCGACCTCCTACATACCAGGCGAAGGTGTTTTCATTGAGAAATTGCTGCAGGAAGGCGGCAGTGCGGCAAGTAAGTAGGTTACAAACCCATCTGTGAGGAGTTGTTCACGTTAGCCATTTGTACGTGTGGTGGGTTTCCTCTGGGTAGACTTTTATTCTTACCCAAATGCAAAAGAACCTCAATGAAATGAAACTGGCCAAATATCGCAATGTTGCAAGCAGGGATTCCTCTTGAAAGACGGTCTGGAGACTAGGTGAGGCTTTTATGGATAAATAAATGACATTTTCATTTTTATTCTTTGTATGCCTGATAAACGTTGATTACATTTCACAGTTGCTTCCTCCAATCGCTTTACAAATTCCTCCCTTTCCGTTTTGTTGAGCGTAGTAAAAACATTCACATTCCACTACGATAAAAGACTCCAAATCCTGCAGAGTATGTTCCTATTTTTTTTGTCAGCAAATTTATTTTTAAACCCTTTAAAGAAACAGAACATTCCAAATCCCTAGAATATCACTGTCAATTATTATGGAAATCTTAACTTTCACGCTTGGCAAAGCAGACTGCAACAGCGTTTGCACAGAGAGGATCAGGGCCACAGGGAGGGCATGTAACCACTCGCCACACCCCCACGATCGTTACGACTGGGGGTGACACAATTTGACTCTTATTTTTATAATTTCGACACTCATTCGTATTGTTTCGCATGCGCACTGTTTTGTCCACCTCATTTGGTCCAAACGTAACAACGGCACGTAATTGAATCGGCGTTGCTCGGAAGTGCGTGGATTCTCGCACGCGCGATTCGATGCGCGCGTCACTAGAAACTTTAGTCTCCGAATCTCGTTGCTTGCCGAGCAAGACCTCAGACGGCACACGCAAGTGCGGACGGAGAGCGAAAGCGAAACGACAAGACAAAGCCACAGAAAGATTCCGGCCCCTGAAAGGGCGACGGCTACGGAGAAAGCGACAACCTAGAAAAGCAGCAAGGCCACCACAGGGAGGGCAAGGTTCACAGCAAGGACAAGGTCACCAAGAGCTCGGACCTGGGGGGGGGGGGGGGTTGAGGGGGGGGTGAGCACCATGATAAGAAAAAGAGAGGGGGGACACAGGGACGGCATCGTCACCTCGGGGGGCAGGGAGGAGAAGTGGTTTTCGTCGGCGGTGAGCGTGCGCAGGTTGGCGAGACGACCGATGCCGGCCGGAAACAGCTCCAGCTGATTCCCGCTGCAGTCCAGCTCCTCCAGGCTGTCCAGGCTGAGCACAACAGACGCGGGGGGGGGGTGGCGGTGGCGGGCGGAATGAGATACACGCGGGGTGTGAAGGCGGAGGAGGGTGGGCGAGCGTCATTAACCCACACGGACGAGGCTGCTGATGGATCGGCAGCCAAAGAAGAGACCGCACCCGTTATATGGCAATACTTCACCACGTTGGTCAAAGTTGTCGTTGCGGGAGACAGTAACAATAGTGGATTTTGATGCCCTGCCCCTCCGCTCCTGCCCACAATGCAGCCCTGCGGCAGCCTTCAACGCCGGCTTTATGGAGGGCGGTCGCACATTCAAGCGCAATGCAGACATGAACTCTGCTTAGCTTCCAGGATCTGACAAGATCGGGCGTATATCCCGGGCGATCCGGTCGTATTGCACGGCGATTTTAAAGGGGCAACGGGCGACTGGACAACGGTACTCACTCTCCGAGGGCTTCGGGCAGCAGCGACAGCTGATTGTCGTCCACTTTGAGCGTCGTCAGGCTCTTGAGGCAGCCTGGGGGCACATCGCGGCCACAGAGACACGCGGGGGAGCACACGGAGACGTCGCGGCGTGAGCGGCGATAAAGCGCGACCGCGCACACAACGCTCTCGTCAAGCCAGTTGCGTTACCGTCGCGTTATCCAGAACGTCACAATGCAAAGCGAGCGACCATTTAACACCGATAGCTACCCAGCAAGTCGTCACGATTCCAGATTGTGACGAGTTGATTCGAGGATCAGTTATTTGTTTCATCATCTATTCTTGAACACGTCGGCTTTCGCGACTAATATCATCCATAATACAGGGTTTTTTGGGTTAGATCACGTAAAAATATAAGTGTCGTTAAACCCGCCACCACCCGATAGCCAATTAGAAAGGTTTGTCACGTAAAGAAAACATGCCAATTCGTTACTAGTACAGCACACCGGTGTGTTGGAGAGCCAAGCCACAACATTTACAATCGGAGTATGACGTTTCGCCAGTAATTACAACGAGCTAGTTACAGTAGTCACAATTAGCTAGTTGTAATTGTTGGTCAAACGTCCTACTCAGATTGTAGATGTTGTGGCTTTGCTCTCCAACACACCGGTGTGCTGTACTAGTAACGAATTGGCACGTTCTGTTGACGTGACAAACCTTACTAAATGGCCGTGTCGGGTGGTGGTGGATTTAAAGACGCATTTAAATATAAACGCGATCTAACCCAAAAAAAAACTTGTACGGTGGATCTATTCTTGAAATCATGTCACACCCGCAGCAGACTGACACAGGAAACGACGCAGCCTCATTACAATTTTTTAAGTCTTGCCCTTTGTTACGATGCCTCTGGAGGCAATCCCTTCCAAACGCGAAGTTAAAAAATGATAAAATTGATGCGATTTCAGATTATAGAACAGCACGTTGCGCAGTTGTAACTTCCGTAACGTGCTGGTAGTTACTCTCCTGTCCACACAGGGTGCAGCAGCAGGTGGAGATAAACCTCATCCCGGTGGGGAGACAAGCGTGGCTAATCTCTTTAACAGATATGGCTCATTAAATAATAACAAACAGCCGTGAGAGCTGACTTACGTTTTAAGGGATTTTTTTTTTGCTTTCTGCCCCCCACCTCAGCTCCCCCTCCAAGTTTATTTCAAACATTGAAAGCAGAAATAAAGTAAACAAAGTGGTCTGAAATTTTTGTTGGTTTTTAAAAGAACTTAATCTGGACCGCTCAACTTAAATGCTTAAATAGTCCACGTGTAACGACTTGCGACACCACAGCCGGTTAAAATTAACGTTTAAAAACAATACAATAACAAACTTGGCAACCGATTCATCATTCGCTGCCAGCCGACGAGCATTCTTCGGCATCTTAAATCACGACAAAAACTCACCGGAATTCACCCCAACCGGTGTTCACCTCTACCAGTATCACAATAGAGATATCCCGGCACAGCAGTTAAAACAATGGACGCCGTTTTCATAAATACCCCCCCCCACCGCCTCTTGTCCGACCAGCAACAATTTAGTCAATCGGCAGGCAGGTGCGTGTGCGGTTGGGCCAGCGTAGAAGGGGTCAAAAAATAAATGCCCTCCAGAGTGGGGGAGCACTTTAGAGCTCCCTCTAGTGGAGGCCCTGGCTTCAGCAGTGGCGTCAGAAACGAATTTGCAAGGCCGTAGCTTCGGTTTGCATTTTAATTCATTTCTCATTTTAAAAAAACCACAAACGACCACGTCAAAACGAACACAAACAGAGCGACGAGCCGGCAGTGACGCACCGATTTCGTCGGGCAGCTGGCAGAGCAGGTTAGACGACAGGTGCAGGTCCTCAAGGGCTTCGCAGCCCGCCACGCCGGGGTCCATGGTCTCCACCTGGTTCTTTGAGGCGTCTAAGTAGCTCAGCCGCTTCAAATTCCCCAGGCCCTGAGGCGGAGGAATCGCACGTGCGCGGGGGGGTAACGCACACGCTCAATAATTCAACGGAAACGCGGCCAAACCGTCGCGTGCCCAACTGCCTAAAAATAAACACAATGACACCAACAACAACAACGAAAAGCCGTAAAGAGGAAAAGCACGTGACAAGGCCTCTTGTTATTGCACTCGGCTCGTTAATCAACTTTGTAAATATTTTCGTGCGATACTGCGTTGGCAATAGTCCACGAGCACAAATAACGAAGTCAACATATCCGTCAACAGGCCTGCCTCGAAGAGGAAATAAAAACATCTCAGAATACATTTTTGGGCATTGGCCCCTTCTTCATAGCAGATATCTTCTGTCGACTTGTCCAAAGAACTAGACTTATGGATGCCAAATAGACTTACACAGACACTCAGACATATAACAGAGACCCTTTCACTCACATATAGACCCATAACAGAATTTTGTGGAGAGTCCTAAACTTAAAAGGGCCCTTGCCCAAAACGTTGCTTATATATACTCATCTCTTTATGCAAGTGTTATGTACAACCTAGGAGGCTGCCTCTGTGTGACGGTTAGCACACTGGCCACCAGGTTGCTTCCCATCTCCTGGTGGCGGCAGCAGCCTAAACAAGTTTCTTAAACCTCCTCGTACCCCCCCCTGCCGCCTCCGTCCACCCGGCAGTGTGTGCGAATGGGGGATCACCACGGTCGGTCCGTCGATCTGCAATTCCACGTGTGGTGGGGTAAGGCATGGCGGGGTACGCCCCACATCGTCAAAGACAACGGGGGTTGGGGGGGGGGTGAGCGCGAAGAATTGGAGCTCCCTCTAGCGGAGGCCCCCTTCCACCAGCGGTGGGGGGGGGGCACGTATACGAGCGAGCAATTGCGGGGCTGCACCTTTGGCTTCGTCCTCCGAGGTGCCGAGCAATCGGTTTGGCCAGAGAAGCAACGACTCGCTTGTTCAGCTCAAACGGGGCGCAGGCTTGCTACCCCCGGAGGCAGCCGCCGAGGAATTGATATCGATTGTCCTAATGGGGCCAACAAGGCTAAGCACAACAATGGCCAAACCCTTGGGGACAAGGTCACGGAGACGTTTTAAGTCGTTCGACCGAATGAGGGACACGGTGTGCTGTTGTTCTTCGTTGCGTTTAAGGAAAGTCTTTGGCAGGCAATGGGAGTTTGGTTTAGCTTTTAACCAGAACAGTTTTTTTTCATAAGTAATGTTAAATAATCATTACGTTTAATTGAATATTTATATTTAGTTGCGTTGTACATTTTTTTCATGGTGTTTTCCACGTTTAGTTGACACTGTAGGTTTCTGCGTAAGTCTACAGCGTCTCTCTGTGTAAGTCGATGGCGTCTCTGTGCAAGTCTTAGGGTCTTGGTGTAAAAACATTAAAAAGTTCTCCGTGTGGTCTCCCGTGTAAACCTGCGCGTCTCTACGCAAGTACGCGGCGTCTCTACGCAACTCAAAAGAAGTCTCGACACAAGTCTACGTACAGGTCTCTGTGCAAGTCGATATAAACGAGACGCCTGGCCTGCAAAGATCCATCTATCTATCTAACCCGATCTTGAACCCATGCAGACGCGCGGCCTGTAAATCGCCCGACCACCCAGCCATCCGACGGGGGCCTGTCGTTTGAGTATTTATACGCCATCGGGAGAGACGTATTCGTCCGTGGCTTCAACTCCCAAAAGAGCGACTGACCGGCGGCAGAGCTTGCAGCTGGTTCCCATCCATCCACAGCTCCTTCAGGGCAACCATGTGCTCCAGCACGGAAGGCTGCATACGCAGACGCACAGACACGTGCGGAGAGACGCGCGGACACACGCACACGCGGTGAGACGAGGGTGCGCATGCACGCGCTCACGACACGCGCGTACGGAAATGTACAGGTGACGAGCCGACAGGGTCACGAAACGCGTGCAGTTAGAGGCGTGCTCAGACGAACAGGCACGTGTAGGATACGCAGGCACAAAGATACGCATGCACACACCCACAAACATAAGAGACAGATAAAAAGACAAACACGTGCAGGCAGGACACACACACACAGGCACACGTGTGTATGGTGAGGACATGAATACATTCATTGACAAATCGCTACAAGCCAAGCCAGCACCCACACACCTGGCCCTGCCTGCGTTTCTGCGATTCTTTTCGCACCGGCAGCCAAAAACGGTGCGGCGGTGTCGATTTCAGGGCGAGTCATTCACTGGTTCGGGGAATTGCGGGGGGGGGGGGAGCCTTGGTCGGTCAAGTTCAAGGGTGAAGAGAGTCACTTTGAGGGTAGAGGGGTCAAATTAACCCCCACCCACCCAGCCCCCTACCCCCCGACGCCGACGAGGTGAAGCATGCCTCGGTTAACTCGGCAGCGCAGTTACGATCCCTCCAAGGTTAAAACGGCCATCGCTCACCTGCCAAAGGATGCCCGGGCCCTGTGTGTTTGTGGAAAACAATTTACTCTAATGGTATTTTTCGCAAAGGCTGTGTTTCCCCCAAACAAACCCCACCCACAATCCCCTCCCCCCCCCGGTCTCCGCCGCTCTGTGAATGAAGTTCATTGCGATTGCAAATTGTGGGCGGCAAAACGTTACGGCCGACGTCCGTGAATCAAACAAAACAAACTCCTCTCCCCCCCCCCCCCCCCCCCCGCAGATAATTTGGTGTTGTTTTCACGCGCACGCCATTTGCGAGGATCGTTAACGAACGGCCGGGACGTGGACGATGTAAACAAGGAAGCCGCCTCTCTCGGAGAGAGAGAGAGAGACGGTGCAGGAAAGGGCACGCATGTTTCACCTTGCACCGGACGAAGCCACAACAACCACCACCGGGACTATCCCCCCCTCCCTTAAGCGGTCATATGTACCGTATGTTGAATTTCTTTCACGTCGTAAGTAACCAAGCGTGCTAATTGGAGTCGTGGGGGAAGGAAAAGATCTTCCAAATCCCACACAGGTTTGAGCGGGCCACGTGACGAGTAGCCCAGAGGGCATGCGGAGCAGGGGCTGGGAGCGCCTCGTTTGCGCTCGGGGATGAGAGGATACCAACTCAAACAAGGCGCGAGCGTCAGACTCACCCACTCGGAGATCTCATTGCTGCCCAAGTCCAGCCTCTCCAGCTGACCCAACTCGCTCATGGACCTGCGATCGAGCAGCAGCAACGGCACGGAGAGGGAGAGGGGGGGGCAGAGGGGGGCAGAGGGGGCGAGTGTCATCGAGGGCAGAGGCGTCGCATCGAATCGACGTTTAAGATCCGTTAGCTCGCTCGGAGAACAAGCGGGTCCCGGGGTAGAGGATCCTAGGAGAGATGGGTGGCAGGGGATAGGCGCTCGATGATGGCTTAAGAGCTTTCTACGCACGACGCTTATACCGGGGCCAGATGGCATTGTTACGGTCGCGATTAAACTAGGATCCTGCGGGCTGCAGCCGCTCAACGCGTAGTAGCGAGAAACACACCGTCACGCAGCAACTGGCGCGCGACGGTGTGCAGAGGCGTGAAACGACGCATCAAATCGATCGTTTCGTTCATTAACATCCACCCTGACGCACTACCAGGATGCATGTTGAAAGTGTGCCGTGAGCGCAAGTCGCAGTGTCTGAGATCTACATCCAGTTCTCTCGAAAACTGCTGCACACCTCCACGTTTACAGCACCGGAGGCCAGTGGTTCAAATTCCATATTCCTATGATGGTGGCAAGTCTTACCGCAGGACAACCACCTTTGACTTCTGCTCGCAGTGGCACTCATTTCATCGACCTCGGAGCAATTATGGACTGAGTGAATTCATCCCCCCCCCCCCCCCAAGCTTGGATTTGAACTCGCAACCTTCCGGATCGTAACACCATCAACCACCTTCCACCACCACCGCAAATTTACTGCAACAATAAAGCACTTGACTTAAAACGGAGGCTGGTGGTTGGAGGAGGAGTAATAAAAATAAGGCCAAAGATGCATTTCCACTGCCCTCCTGTTTGTGTGTACGTTGAACTGGGAGGTCGATGGAGCATCATGACCATGGAAAATAAAATTTGGTAATCGACTCCGTGCTAGGTTGGTAGTTTAGTGGAATATGGGATGACGTGGTGTTGTGCACAAGTGTGAGCCAGTACCATCTGTTGGATTTCACATTTTTTCACGGCTGTGCGTCGCACGTCCACGAAGAAATGCCCGCTCCCCTATTAATTGTCAACCCGGCGACACGATGGCAATTAGCGGCGGTCCGCGAGACGTTGAAAGCGAAACGCATTAAAACGACTCGAGGGTTAATGTTACATGAAGGGCCGACGGCGACGAGGCGATGTCAAGGCATTTCATTAATTGCCGAAACTTTTACGCGGCAGTGTGGCACAAGGCAGTGACGCTCGTGCCTCGCGGCGATTCGGGATCTGGGTTCGATTCCTGACTCGGGCGCATTTCTGCGTGGAAATTGAACGCTTCACCCCAGTTCTGCACAGGGTTTTTTCTCTGGGTTCTGCGGGTTCTTCCCATAGCGAGAAACGTGCCAAGTCATTGGTGTTGGCCAAATAATCCAAAATGTGGCAGGACCTTCCTCGAAGAGAGTTTTGGGAACTGAGTGCGCGGCTTTCCTGGGTAACCAAGTATAGTGCGTGAGTGTGCGTGCGGGGATTCATTATTTCCTGCGCGTGTTTTCAAATCACGGCCGTCTCCAAAGCAGCACATGATGGATTAGTAATGCGGGATTATTAGGGGGGGATGGGCTGTGAGTGTGTGTGACGTGGACCCCGATTTTGTTGTAATATCTCGTTCAATCAACATTTGTTTTTGGGTTCGGCGGAGTGGTAGTTTTTATGCAGAATGTCTTGCCATGAACCATCCATCACCCGACAAGATTACCACGTTTTCATCGATATTGATAGTTTACACGTGGCCAGTGTTTCGATGAAATTGACCGATACAGCTCCTTCCCCACCCTGGTGGCTTGAGACTCTTCACTTGAGTTCAACATCAACGCAGAGCGACGTTTCGCTCAAACACCTTGGAGTTTTATGAGGCAGTGAGCTCGGAACACAATTTCGACTTTTAATGCCTCGCTGAAAGTAAACTTCAATTGGTCTCTCTCTAAAACGTCTTCCAGTTGGACTGCGGGAGTCACGTCCTGGGATAAAGCGTCCACTTGGAGCTCTGGTACAGCAGTGCACATCACCCTGTGTGTCGGAGAACAGCCAACAGAAGGAGATACTACGGAACTAATTCTGAGATCCACCCGCCAGCAGTCGCAATGTCCACGCACGCGCGCTGCTATAGAGAGGTCTTCCTTTGCGTGACAGTTAAACCAACTTTGCATTGTGTTTTTTTCTCCAAGCTGGAACTTAGCCAAAGTAAGCGCAAATCCAAATTTAATGCGATGGTTTTTGCATCGTCATCAGTGACCGGGAAGAGACCATCAATCTCGCTTACACACAGTTTAATCATGGGCAGGGTTGCAACCTATAGATTCCGACCCCGGCCCTCAACGCTACCAACCCAGCTGGCTCCGACCCCCGCCCCCCCCGAGCGACCACCCTGTCACCGCACTGGCAGAGGGTTTATAAATAATCACCCCTCCGCGGGGCTCGCCGATGATTGCCGTGTCAAGGGAATAAATGATTGGCAGCGGAGACTCACTCCCGAGGTGGCAGGCTCCCAACTGGCGGCCTCGTAACATCACCGGCGAGCGGGACGTGAGTCAGCCGAGTGGAACAAACAGACCCCGAGATATTTTGCTCGTTCGTTTTCATTAAAAAGAAAATAGAATCTGCAAAACCCGTTTCAATTACCCCACACTTAAAAACAAAAATCCCAACTGTCCAATGAAATCTTGCAGCAAATCAATCCAAGGCAACTTGGGCGTTAATTACTGTGCGTGTAACGGTGAGTTGATTCATCGATTGAAATTCATTCACGTGCTTATGATGCACGCGCTGAATTAAAGTGTGTGACAATCGATTGTGGAGTCAATGTAGAAAACTAGACGATACAATCGAGACCACATTCATTCTAGATTTGAAGTTTTCGTGACTGCAAAGATTCATACTCTTTGATTTTTTCGGTAAAGTCACGTTGATAATTTTTTTTTTTAATCACGACGTTTCGGGCACAAAACAAGCGTTCTTCTTCAGGTGGGGACAGCGTAGCGAACGCTGTTGCGCCCGAAACGTCGTGATTTGATCTATAAAAAAAAAATTACCTACGTGACTTTACCGAAAAAACCAAAGAGCATGAATCGAGACCACGTCAAATGTGATGCAAATAAAAGAGCAAAAAACGCAAATAATTTTATCTAACTTTGACCCCCAAATGTTAGGCCAATGTTGCATTCAAACTCATGGGAGTGAACAGAACCAACCGTAAAAACGAGATGGAACAGACGAGAAAGAATACAAAGGAGCGAGTAAATCATTCGACAGAAAAATGCATCGATTCGAGCAGAGTTATCGCGACCCACGAATCGTGAAGATTCATCCGAGCCACAGGTAGGACGAATCGCTACGCGCCTATCGAGTAAAAGCGTCTTCTTCGTCGCTGCCGGCACAGGTCGACGCGATCCCTCTCCAAATCTGGCTGTTGGCCTGATGAAGCTGGTTGTAATTACCGGCAAAACTTCGTACTCGGATTGTAAATGTTGTGGATTTGCTCTCCAACACACTGGTGTACTGCACTCGTAACGAAATGGCACGTTCTGTTTACGTGATAAACCTTACTAATTGGCTGTGTTGAGTGGTGGCGGATTTGAAACAAGTTCCCCCCCCCCCAACCCCCGAGTGTCATGCCGGCTCGCGTTATCAGCTGATGGGAGAAGGAGCGCGCCGTCCTTCAGGCGAGATGCCTAATCCGGCTGAAGTCCCCATGAACCACGCACAAGGATATTTGGCAGCCCGCACCAGCCCTGACGCGTGACCGAAGGCTCGCCGTAGTCGCGGCTTTTGTTGCGCCTGCCGAAAATTGTCACGTGGTTCTCCAACTGCCTAGCTCGGCTTTTCTTTTTTTTTACTACAAAGGTGTTGCGCCCGAGGCTGCATTGTGCACATCATCACTGCCACCACCGTAGCTATTCACGCGTATTTAAAAAAAAAAATTATTATCACAAGCCAGACGGGACAGAGACACATTTCCTGGAATGTGAGAGACAGAAACTTGCGAGCGTCTGGGGTGGCGAGTGGGGTGGGGCGGAGGGGGGGGGGCGAGCGGGGGGGGGGGGGCTAGCACCACAGAGTCATGATGTGCGCCTCGCCGATGCCACTGGGATTCCAAGTTCGGATCGGAGATTCCGTGACCCGTGATTAGACCGGGTTCTCAAGTGTAGCAAAGTTCATGGCCTCAGCCCATCCACGATGTGACCATATTTTAACGAACATGACATTATGTTTGGTTTGCCTACATTGCAGCATTGAGAATTATGAGAATTTTGGTTTGACTCCTGTGCGACAAACATTTCTCTGGAACGGCCGATATAGGAAAGGTCTCCCCTCTGGTGTGAATAAAAGGGCAATTTGAAAGGATCTCTTCAGTAGTTTTGTGATACATCCTTCTACGTACCGTCCTCTGACTGCATGACAAATATACAATGTAAAATTAATTGTAGGTGGTAGGTGATTAAATTCAACTTTTGTTGTCATTCATGAACACTCTTTGTAGGGCACAAAGGGTCAATGTTTAATTTAAAAAAAAACAGGTGAGAACTCGAGACCAGCATGAGTCTCATCTGACCTAAGTTGTGTCCACAGTGTACACAGGGGAGGCCTATTAAAGGGAAACTCAGAAGTAGTTCTATTACAGCTTCTTCCGAGAGCTGTTCTCCAACACAAGGTGGTGGCCACCAAGCCAATGTCGGCATCCACAATGGAACTGTATTCACCTCGTGACGCAGACACGTGGAGCAGCATGAGGGACACGCAACACAAGGCAAGCGGGTAAAAGGGAAAAAAAAAAACAGAAAAAATACCTCAAGCATAAGAGAGAAATGTATGAATGTGTTTGGGGACATCACCCGACGGATCAAACTGCCTTTTGATCTACAGTAGCGGCCGTTTGAAACCCGACCTCCCGCAAACCCTGCGATTCAAAAAGCCACCGATCGTGAAAACGTGGCTTTGTGTTTGTCGGGGCGGCAACGACGTGGCACGGTGCCTCAACCGAGTCGT